GACCAATAGAAAAGATGGCTTATCACCAAGTCAAAAACATTTGTGACCCCTTCATGGGAGACTGAACCAACAGCTTTAAAATATAATCCTGCTATGGAAATAAAACTATTTTAGATTGAGAGTGTAGAAATTTGCAAAGACTCACATATTTTCCTGATTAGAATAGGATGTACCAATGATGATGAACAGAAAATAAAGCTATAGGTTAACTGAGGTACCTAGAATCTCATAGTATAAATACCTAACAGACAATGAAAGGCAGATAAGGCTTTAATAACTTTAGTCTTTTGTTATCTGTGTACCTGGGATGGAACGCACCTGTTTCATGAAGCTCCTTCTTCCACCTTCAAGATCTGCTATTTCAGTAATGCCTGATTTTCTCCTGAGTTCCAAAATATTTAGTCTAATACTAGCCAGTGTAACAAACCCATACCAATTATCAGACAGGAATACAGGGAAGAGATATGTGGATACCAAACTCAGAAGTCCATGTTTACATCACAGAAAGACGGATACAAATGTCCCAGTATAACACAAAAACCATGCTGTTCTGTCCCAAAACTCCCCAGTTAAGAAAGAAACCCATCCCTTATAACCAGTTTACATGAAAGACAGCAGTAGGCATGAGAAAACCAACCACTTATCTCTTGCAGGTAGAATTCAGAAACAGAAATAAGGGACAACAGGCAGATAAAACAAGAGCTGAAAGATGGCTTTTCTCTTGACTGTCCAGTGTGAACACATATGACAAAGTACTTGCTCTGTAAATAAGAATATTAACCAGATAATCAGATAAGTGTAGTAATAAATCACCAAAATTCATGAAGCTAGTGGATCATGATCATCACAGTCCTGATCAGTCATCATGAAAGATCTCCTTTCCTCAAGATATAAAAAACCTAAGTTTGATTTTAAAACAGATTTTTGGTGACTGCTTATTTAGTACAGAAAATGACAAAAATTACTCCAAAGTATCTCTCACTGGTTTTTACCCAGACCTCTGTTCTAGTATCTGGACCTAACTTTCAGAATAAAAGGATAGCCTTCAGGTACCTCAGGGAAATCCAGCCTGTCAGTAATAATTCATGAACACTTTCTCATCAATAATACTTAATGCAAGAAGCACCATAACTCAACAGTGATTAAGCCCATTTGGACTACTGCTGTCTGAAGCACAGTCAGGAAGGTTTTAAAGAAAGCTTTATGGAAAAGCAACAAACATTTTCTCTCAGAAAAATTATAAGCCAAATAGCACAAGTCAGTTAAAAAAGGAACTGAATCGGAACTTGGCTAACTGCAAAACCAAAACATATTAAACATCTTAAGTACAGATTTACTGAAAGGAGAAAGGAAAGCATGAGGGGATTGTACCCCACCTACTTGTATCACTTACTACTGTATACTTTCAACATGACTGTGGGGCTGCTCCCATGTGCCATGTTCCTGTTCATGTTATGGATACTTCAACCCCATAACCGTACTGAAAAAAAATCATTTGATCTTGCAAAATACTGGTAGATGATCAAATGAAAAGATACAATAAAACCAGAGAAAAAAACAGACATGGAGAAGATTAAGAATGGTCTTGACTATTAAGTGGAAACAAATCTTGCTGTCAAACAACTTTTTTGAGAGACCGATCACCACTAGAAACAGGATGACTCAAAAGTACTTCTTCAGGAAAGTTGCAGAGATTCATCAATAACTCATTGGTGAATGATCCTGAATTGTGAACACTCCCACCAGCATGGCAAAATATCAATTTGAAACTCAAAATCCCTTAAACTCAGAATTAAAACCCTGCATACAATCATAAATTTCTGAATTCTTGAATGCCATCTTAGTTTTTTGCTGGTTTTGTTTTAAACAGACTTCTGCTCCTTTTGCCATTTGGTAAAAACTTGTATACATCCCATTTCACAGCCACAACATCAGTCTTTTGTTTGTTAAAATTGTACACTTCTGCCTTCCTTATATACACCAGACAACTTACCAATGTCTAAACATTTGCAAGATTATCAACAATGCCAACAAAAAAAAAGACCCACATGTCACATCTAACAAAATCCTGCAACTGCATTTGAAAAATGTTTTGGATGTTTATTCTTAAATAACACAGTCCAAAATTCAAAATGTTAAAACTGAGTGATCAGCAGAATAATCACAATTATAATTATGTTTTGCAATGATAACAGGTCTTTTTGTACCATAGTTAGAGCTTTCAGTTCCAGCATCATTAAGAGATTCTTCAAATTACTTTTTAAATATACTTTTCCCTCAGGATTTTCACTTATAACTAATTAGACTACTTACCCCATGCCATGTAATTCCCCATGGCCAAAACTGCTAAATGCTTCAATAAGAAGGAGGAGGGGACCAGTGGAGCAAGGCAGATGTAATGTCATTGGTTAACAATAGAGGTGTGAAGCAACTGCCATAATTATAAAACTCATTAATTCACAGTGTTTAGGGAAAAAAAATCCTTGGCAATAACTCTGTTGCAATGGCAATTCTTTTCAACACTACATCAGATTGAAAAGAATTCTTTCAATTTACACCTTCAACAAGACAGAATAGTAATTCCACTAGTAATTATGAAAATCAACATCTGCATAAAAAGTAAGAAAAATAGTCAGCTATAATGGCATCTAACATTCATCCTTTTCATCTTTCAAATGGACATGTGGCACATTTTGACACCTAACCAATTTTATTTTTAGTCTCATTCCTCTTAAGACTGTAAATGGACAAATTCCAAAATATTTCCAGGAAAAAAAAAAAAAAAGAATTAAAGCAAGATCAATGAACTTTAAATTTTACAATTTCTACCAACAGTAGGGTTATAGGTTTTGGCTACAGCAGAAACATTTGCCATTTACCTTTGTGTTTCATGGATACAAAGTGCTTAAATAGATGAGGAGCCCTGACATAAGACAGCCAGCACTAAGTTTTGCTTCCACCATTCATCTTTCATATGCTCCTCACTAGGTTAGGCAGTGTCATGAAATGTCCTCCATCTCTGCTAATGCTATTCTCAAACTTTCCCTGTCCAAATTTCTCTGGAAAAAAAATCCAAACCCTGAAGTTTCTAGGTGGAGAAAATTTTCTCTAAAGAGATTTTAAAGAGATGACAGCTGGATTAAAGCTCTTGCCTTGAATACTCAACATTATCTAACTTCTGTTCACTAGTGGGTATTTCTTTTTTAAAATTTCAGTTATTTTACATACAGCATATATAGGAATTGTGCTCAATGACCATTTTGAATTCAGTTGAACATACTGAATTGCATTTCATATAATTTGCAATGTTTTCTGACAACAGAACAACAGATTTTGCAGGGTCAGTGATAGCAATTCCCCTATTTAGGCTGTCTAACACTTTCCATTATAAAAGATTACTGTGGCCTTTATTTCTGAGCTGTAACACTCTGAATGTTTGCAGCAGGCGATTTAAATTTATCAGAAAGAAAGTCTGTACTAGAGAAGTGGCTATCCTAGTGTCATAAAATGCTGATCAGGTTTTATGGAGATGCAAACTGTTGAATAGCACTATTTTTATTTTCCTTCTTCTATTTCTCCTCAGAGGAACTTTGGCTGTGTGTCAAAACAATAACGAATAGAAAAGTAACATACATAAATACTGTAAGGTGGGACTCTAGATACTGAAGTTAGGACTTGAAAATCAGAATTTTAAAGAATTTGGGCCACTTGTATAATGTATACAATGTAATAGAGACTATAATCATAAGTGGGCAGAAATAAGTTTTCCTGGATAATAGTCAGGCATTTCTTGTTTTCAAATATGTGTGCAGAAGTGGAGTTATACTATTTTGAAAAATAAGATTTTGTAGATATAACTACCTAAGTAGTTAAAAAGGAAAATGGAGTAAACCCTGATTATTTCATGATAAGAATGTAATAGTATTGCACTGCACTGTACAATGTACCCAGATTTGTACCCTAAAATCTTTTGCCTTGCATTGCACTTGTCTACTAAATAGTCACTAGATTAACTGTATGCTCTGGTGCTATGGCAGGTTACGACCTGAGGGATGTTGAGGTCGCTGGGAGAAGGAAAAGAAAGGAAAAGAAGGCATTTTAGGAAACAGGTCTTCCCCATGTCTCCCCTACTTCTTAAAGCTGCTAAATCTTCCAGATGTCCCTGTGCAAAGTGATTGCTCTGGTATAGGTTTAGGTTGTAGATATGCAGTTATTATTCTGGCATTTTAGTATCACACCTAACTTAGAAAAAAACAAATATCAAATTTATATAGACCCTGAACATGATAAAGGGACATAAGAAGAGAACCAGGTGTATACACAGATTTAATGTATTGATTAGATGAAACACTTGAAATATCAAAAATTATTCAGGTATATTACTCAAAATCACAAAAAAAAAAAGAAATTACAGATCAGGGAAGAAAGGTTTTTCTCAATTTCTCAATGTCAAGGATATTGAGGTGCTGCAGCAAGTCCAGAGGAGGGCAACAAGGCCGGTGAGAGGGCTGGAAAACATGCCTTATGGGGACTGGCTGAGGGAACTGTGGTTGTTTAGCCTAGGGAAGAGAAGGCTGAGAGGAGACCTTATTGCTCTCTACAACTACCTGAAAGGAGCTTGTAGTGAGGCTGGTGTTGGTCTCTTCTCCCAAGTTACTGATGATAGGATGAGGGGAAATGGCCTCAAGTTGCGCCAGGGAAGATTTCAATTAGATATTAGGAAGAATTTCTTCACTGAGAAAGTGTTAGGCTCTGAAATGGACTGCCAGGGAGGTAGTGGAGTCATCATCCCTGGAGGTGTTCAAAAAACGAGTGGATGTGGCACTTGAGGCTATGGTCTAGGGGTTAGGGAAGTGTTGGGAGGTAGATTTGACTTGATGATCCTGGAGGTCCTTTCCAACCATGTTGATTCTATGAATTTCAGGGTGTTTTTTCATACACTTGTGAGTGTCTTTAAAAGTCATGAGTCACATTTAAGTTAAGAAAATATCAGCACTTACTGTGAGAATTAACAGCAATTCTTCAATGTTGCTTTCAGGTTTCAGCTGATCTTTGAACATCCCAATAGTTGGATGCTTCAAATAGTAATAGGAAGCAATGCGGCCGTACGTCAAAGGTTCAACGCTGCGATTGTCCTGTTAGAAAAGGAATCAGATATACGTGGTGCCTAGGGGGCTCAAAACAAATGGTTAGTACAAAACTGTAAAATATTTTAAGACTATTTTATAAGAGAGAAAGGCAAAAATTAGTTAGCAACATAATTTATCTGCAAATCCAATCAAGCTCAGTTTTCAGTGTAAATCTGACAAACAGCTCTACAGACAAACTCTAACATCTCAGACCAGGAGCATACACCTTGCTGTTCCCAACTCTTAGGAGTATTTATCTTACTGACTCTCATAAGGCACAGATTAGTCTTACCTCCCCAACTTCAATGCAGTAGGAGCATTCCAAATCCAAGAGGGATTTCTCAACAAGGCTCGAGAGGTACTTATTCATAGTGTCATGGCTCACATCATCCAAGTTATAGTAACTAGATAAATTGAAAACAGATGCATTATATGAATACTTTTTACACTCCAAAGATTTTTAACAATAATGTCTTGTAGGAAAACTTACAAGGCTGCTATAACACACACACACACTTGGAACAGCCAATATCCACATTAAACAATTAAACACAGAACTTTTCCCTTATATAGCCTAAGAAGATATTCGTGATTCTTAAATGGTTTGTGGGAGTAACCAATATAATACAAGCATGTATATATGGAAAGATGGTAATTTATCTATTAATAGAAAGGGTGATACAAACAGAATTGGACTGGCTATATTTTGTTAGTGGGAAAATTTTCCTGATTGCCTCTTTTCCTGATCATATAAATATAAAACTACAGCTGCATTATAAGATTATTACACACACAAACTAACATAATTTCAGGGAGAGCTTTTACCTAGAAAACTCCAGATAAAAATGTATAAGAACTTGTGTCCTAGATTCAACAAAGGCAGCAATTCAGAAAGTAACATTTGAATTCAATGAGCATTAAAGAAAAGCTGAGCATGCTCAGAAAGTTTAAAAATTCTGAATTTAACCAGTGCAATTTAATCATGCAATTTCAAAGTGGAATTCAAAGAAACAGAAAATTTGATTATTTATTGAAATCTTGAAAAGCATTGTAAAAAAAGGTTATCGCTGCTCATTTAAATCTGTAAACTGCTCTTGCACAGACTACTGAGATTGCTGCAATGATGAAAGATGCTCCTTTGTTCCTACTAGCTGCTTTACTAAAATTTCCTACTGTTATGATGCACTCAGCGTCCCCACTGGAAACAATACCACATACTGCAGTGGAGAGTAAGTCCTTGGTTCTTTCAGTGTTATTTTGTGCAGGTGAACAACAGGCTGCACAACTGCACGGAGATTCATTTTAGCTGATTTCACCTAGCTACAGCTACACTCAAGACTTTTTAATTCTCTTTACTGTCAATGGAGAGAAACGTGTGCTTGCAGAACGCTATTCGTCTGAAGTATTTTATACATCTGCTTTGGGATGAGATGAAACATAGCCATTGAGTGAAAAAAAAAGAACCTGAGATAATCAGTTCAGTTGTTGATGCTGTATTTGGGTAGATGAAGCTCATTCTATGGTTTAATCTTTATTTTGTTTACTGAAATGCTGCTGTTAGCAAATTTCAACACATGAAACAGTGTATTTATATACTACAAGCATCCTTCCATGCCCACTTTATTAACAAAATCTGATTTGCATTATTATTTTCTTAAACAGTTTTTAACATTTAGCTTTTTGAATTGCAACAGGGTAACTGAGAAAAGCCTGCATGCTAAATAGCAGTACAGTAATTTCCAGATTTTTTCCCTTGTTATTACCGCCATGATATAGGATTAATTTTCTGATGCTTTGAATGTTCATTTATAATTGGGAAAAGCTGGAGTAAAACACTACTACCAAAAGAAAAAGATCTAAAAAGTCTGTCTGATAGCAGGAAACAGTCAGCTACATTAGACCAAATGGCAGGAGTACTCAACTCTGTGAGATTTTATAGGGGTTCATCTCAAGATGATCTCAAATATTTAAAACACAGCTATTATAGCAAAAGTACTTTAACACTGTTCTCAATGCAACTTAATTTTCATGAGCTGCCGTTTAAATTTATTGAAGCAATGCAGTAATGATAAAAAATGGTCAATATTTCTACCTGGACCTTTTTTCTGCCTGACATCAGTGAAGACATTTAGATTCTACTTATTAGCAGAAATTACTCTGTAACACTTTGTTTACCTTCTGAAAATAATTGAGCAAATTAACTATATAAGTTGTTTAAGGATGTGAAAAGATTTTCTATTTTATACATCTAACCCACTAATGATTCATTAGTATTTTTCTCTAAATTGAATATAGCACTACTGAAATGAGTATAATTAAGTCATTTTGTGGTCACGGTATTCAGATTTTTGCCATATCATTTCAGCACTGTTATTTGCAGTTCCATAACACTGATGATGAATACTGATAAAACAAAGGATAAGAGATGGGCAATAGTCTGAAATTCTTTCTTGAGGCTGTAACTTAAGACACTAATTCAAACCAATTTTAACTTGTGTTCTGCCTAATTTTCTCATAAAAAGCATTATAATCCCTTTTGAAAATTATGTGAATTTTAGATTTGCCTTTTTTTTTCTTTTCCTCCCCTTTTCTTTTCAGCCAGAGGAGTAAATATCTAGCTGGCTAGTGCAAACGAAACAATGTAAAGAAAAATCTTAAATGATTTGTAATCTTGAGTGAAGTGGTACCAGTGTGTTTTAACTACTACCTGTAAAGGGGTAAAGATAATTTTGAGCACAGCCACAGGAGCTTCATGGTCACTCAGCACATCTTCCCCTAATAAAAAGCAAAGCCATTCATCTAGAAATACTATGTTAAAATCGTTAGTGAAAACAGAGGTATCATGACATTAGACAGTATTTTGAACGCGCAGGCATAAATGCAAGTTGAATTTTGCACGTTGGTATGCTCCAAGTATAAAAACTGCATTGTATGTGAGTTCCTCCATGAAGCTATATTACCTAACTATTTAATTACAGATAAAGAATAAAAACAATGCAGTTTCATGCTCACTGCATTGAATCATTGAGTCATTATTTCCCCTTTGCTATAAACAGACAGCCTACCTTTTTATCAGCACACCATTTCATTTATTTCACAGTGAAGCCCAGTTTCACAATAATTGACTTGTCAGAAGCTCTAATTTATGAGGCTGGGCTCTGTAAGCCTTCTCCTATATTGGACTCAACCTGCACACAAGCAGGGTTGAATATTTACAATGCTGTTAACAGGTGCTGAGTTGTTTAATGATTCTAATAGCCAGAAGCGTACTGAGAAAGCCAGCGGGATCACAATTACAGGCTGTTTGAACACAACAATTACTCGTCCCCTGAGAGGTGTGAAAGTCAAAGGCAGTTTTATCCTAACAGCATCTAGCACATGGGCTAGACAGGCTAACTTCCATTAGTAGCCCATTGGGAAAAAGCAATAACAAACCCCTAGGTATCATAAAAATTTACAAAGTATGTAAAATTTAAATAATCAGAAACCGAAGGAACTTTTACTGTCTTTTAAATAATATTTAGAACCCCAAACCTTGTAGAGCTTAGCAAGAACAACAAACCGTGAAAACATGAACTTATTTCTCTAATCTAAGGAAGTGTGGAATTTCATCAGCTGGGAAAGAGAGACACGTGCAGGAACATAAAATGTAGATGAAGTTACACAAAACGTTTAGGATTTAATGTGAATGGTGGCAATCATTTCCTGTTTAGCTTATGTAAACCTGACCTGAGATCTCTATGGGAAATTTTTCATCAGCCTTGAAATGGTCCTGCTATAACTGTCAATGCTGTGAAGTCATTTGTTACTGCACCATGTCTTTATGTTCAGATTATACGGTAGTAATAGTGACACACATAATGAAAATCGGTTGTAGAGTCAGCCAAAAATATTAGAAGAAAAAACTTGTTGGCTGGAAGGCCTTTGGAAACAAATCCACAAAAAAGATCAGTCTACAGCATTCATTTGACCGCAAGAAAGTGTGCTCTCTGAGGTTTTACAGTCCTGAAAGCCGAAATTTGTTATGAACAAGTATTGGGGAAGCACAGACGGTATTTTTGTAAATCACTTTACTGTAGTCATCAATTGTGTTTACTTCCTTCGTCAGCTTGTGGCCTTCAGCAGCTGCCATCTTCAGATGGCACCATGGAAATGGTACTGAATAGATGGCAAAATTGATGTACCCACATAGCCAGAGAGCTATGAACCAGTGCACCAACTCAGTTCTGGATTTAAGACATCACTGACTAACTCTGGAGCCTGTGACTGGTTTGCTAAAATGCATTACAGCAAATTCTGCAGACAGTAATCTCTACCTGTATTTCACTTGTGTCGTTTTCCTTGCGTTCATATATTTGTTTATGCTAGGCATGAGAAATAGATACATTGCTATCTTTAATTAGTTTTCAGTATATTGTACTAAAAACAATTTTTTATTGCTATTTCAGATCAAAAAAGAGTCCTGTTTCTCTGACATCAGCAAGGTATTTGTGTCCATAGCAGTGCTTCTAATTAAAATTTTTGAATAAGTTTATCTCCTAAGACGCATTCATCAGATGAGAAACCAGAGGTAATACGCACAAGCAAATTTGCCTACATATTGATTGGGCATTTATTTTTTCTACAACATATTCCAACAGAAAATTTGTACAGGTAAATCATCTCCAAGAGTAGGAAGACAATTATGTGAATTTGCTTTCTGAATGGGGAGGCGCAAGGTGAGGAGGGGTCAAGGGAGAATGCTCTGCATTCCCACCTGAGACTGCAGCAGATTGGGGACCAGGAGGTGCCTCAAATACTTGGCAGCCTGGGCTCCCCCATCTGAGAGAATCAGAAAAACTTAATTTGTGTGAATCATACCATGAACTACATTCCTGTACTTTTCACATCACTGTGACCCTAATAATTTAAAAGAATGAACTCTTGTTACAGAATTCGTAATGATGCCTAGAGCTGTTATTAATGAAGTGTATATATATAGATGCACATAGACCTAAATGTGACTATAAAAGAAAGATTCCACCCTGAGAAATATCTGTTTACCAACACAAAATATAGATATTGGCAATTACTGCAGTGCAATATATGGGTACCTTCTTAGCTTCTGTCCTTAGAGCTCCTGACAAGCTTTTCAGTTTTATCTCTTAATTTCAGTTAATTTTAACTTCATTTAGTAATCTCCCCTTCTGATATAAGTCCAAACTGGCCCTGAAATTCTGAATAACTGTGATTTTTTCACTGCAATACATACTATACTATCCTGACTAGCTGATACTAGCTGTCACCTTAATACCACAAACTATATTGGAACAGTTTATAACAATAATTTTTATTCAGCCATTTTATTCACATGTTATTAGACATGGTCAGCTAATCATACTTAGAAAATGAAATTTAAAGTAAAAAATAAGTGTATGATGATAAGAGTATCAATCTGACATAATTTGATTATAATTTATGCTACATTAGTCTTTCACTCCAGAAAACTTTGTAAAACTGACAAAATGACACACCCCACCCCCAATAATTCTCAGAATGAATTAAAAAACTAATTTCTTCATATCTTCTCAAGGAATTTACACAGGAAACTAATTTTATAAGCGTGTACATACACAGTCTCGTATATATTTATAAATACATAAAAAACCTACATGCATTTTAACAGTGATGTGATATGTGCTCTCAGAATATCTAAAAATTAAGTTTCCAAATGAAAGCTGATTCTGCTTAACTTTACATATGTTGCAAATTTCTATTTCTCTCTTACCACACATGTATCTGGAAAATATCATAACCTGATTTACAGAAAACGTTTCCCATAGCCATTTCTGTTCTGTAGAAAGTTGCAGATTATAATCTTTTATAAGGGTAAAAGAATGAAACAGTCAAGGAGTTTCAGCCAAGAAAAGGAGATAGACAAGCCTCTCAAAATAGCCCCTTTCAAAGAACAAGGCCCTTCACTGATCTGTCTTGTATGATCTTGACTAAATAAAGAACATATCCACTAAAGTTGTATGCGGAAAGCAGAACACATTGTAGTGCTTGCCTGAAGTAGCACAGAAAATAACCTAACGTGCAAATTCAAAACCTCCTACATATAGGAATAACTTCTTTGAGGGAAGGAAAAAACAGGGAAGAAACTCTGTATATTGAGACTGATCTACTTTGTTAAATAGTCTGATGTGGAGACCACCCCTCTCATTTGCACATCATCTATGGAATAACATGCACATGACCAGTCAGTATGCCTCTGAACAAAACCAGAGCTCAGCTACTCCACTCCTTCAAATCAACAGGTCAATTACTCCTCTTAACTGGGCAGTTAAAAACCATTTCACAGGTTTCAAGACACAGGGGTTCATCGAACAAGAAAATTAAAATGATTTGATGAAAAGAAGTATTTCAACATAAAATGATTTTTCAACAATGCCATTAAAAATGCCATTATTACAAGTCTAACAAATTATGTCATGTGTGCCAGAAAAACTTCTGTAATGACTGCACATATAGAAGAAACCTGGACGCTTGGAGCAAAAGGATACTGTGATCTCTATCTCACAACAAAGGTAGATTAACATCACTTAAGTTGTACAGATTTTATCTATTCAGGAAAGCATTTTATGATACTGGATTGGAATAGAATGATCCTAGATTTGTTTATGCAGCTTTAATATATAAGTAGGTAAAACTGGCAATAAACGAGAATATAAATCTTCTGCATATTATCTAAGTCCATTATTTTGGGGATTTACAACATCACATGTAATGACTTTTATGACAATGAATCCCAAGGCAATTTAGCAAGCATGCATATGGGAATTACTTATTTGCCACTACGGTACAATCACCTGCTGGCTGGAAAATAGTTGTTTCACAGTGGAGAGAAAGTCAACAAAATTGCTTCAGGGCAGGACATGATAAAGAACACTGTATCAAGTGACTGAATTGACATTGTGTAACTACCTAAACCAAAATTCAGCCATCCTGTTCCTACTCTTTTGAAAAAAATAAACCCTAAAACCTTTGGATTATTAAGGGCCACAAATAGTTCTTGTTTGGCAATATCAATCATTTCATATGCTTATCTATGGCATAGGCAACTACATTACCATGGTGTAATTTATTAAAAATTATTTCAGATAACACTGACTTTTTTTTCATAAAACTTTTCAGTTTTCCTTTGATGCCTCCCTCTCTTTCAAACACTAACCATGCTGGAACTGCTTGGCTTATAGGAGGTCTGAAAATACCACAGGTCCAGGAAGTCTACTAACTGTCTAGTTTAATAACAGTTTAGTTAGTAACTTTGCATGAAACTTAATAGAATTTTTTATCATGTCAAAGAATAGAAAGCATGCACATCCTTGTATTTGTACTTGGCATCTCAAAGTGACCTTTTTGACACAGTCAACAATAACCTTCATTTTTCTCCCTGCATGACTGAGTGCAGATGGAATGCTGAGTACCTCTGTGTGGATGAGATGGGGTAAGGCAGCACAACTTGTGAACTATCCTAACCCGTACATGTGGCATTCCAGTGAAAGACTCCAAATTCATTAGAAACTTCAATATGCATTCCTACCCTGCCATTATGGACACGACTAGTCAAGATCTGTTCATCTTGTTTCTCACTACATAGGCTCTGCATCTCACTATGAAACAGAGTGGGCTTTATTCTTTTTTCTCTAACTTGCTTGCCACAACCCTCTCAGAATAGCAGAACTTTTGCTTAAAAGTTGATATTGTGATAACTTCAGATTTAGCTTTCCATGACACCGCACATTAAAAAAAAATGCTGAGAAGGACGGACCATCCGTCAACATGCCAACCTCAAACTCCAGTGGGAACCCTTCTTTTATCCTGGGAAGGGCTTATCTATTAAATCAAACTATTACATTTCTACATTCTACACTTACCTTTGGGCTGTATGTTGTATCTTAAAAAAATATCTACCCACCACAGATACCACATGATCAAAGCTTGCCAAAGGCAAATCTACAAAATCACTTTAGCACAGTAATTCAAGAGCAAGCCATTTTAAAATAGCATTACTTATTCTGCAGAGGCAGAGTTTCTAACATTAGTTGTAGTATGGATCATATGTAAATTCCAAAGTCATACAAATAAACACAGCTTTACCCACATCTAGCCTACACAAAACCAGAATTCAGCTGTTTGTCACTCTCAGGGCAGAAATACCTTTCACATAAATGTATTCATTTTGTTAGTTATGAAACGAGGGAACTGAATATGTTTTCTTTAGTTTATAGTTCTAACTCGGCATTTTTTTATTTCCCAAGATGATCGCATGCGAATTATGTTTTGTGGGAGATTCTCAGCATAAGACTAGTTGCAGAATTCAAAACTAATGGGAACCAAAAAAGAATTAAAGGAAATTATTTTATCACCTGCAGGCTCCCATCAGCGACTGCCCATAAAGAACACAGCTGAAAATCCAGCCAAATGTTATGGACATTAACGTGATTCCAGAAATACAACACTCTAGAGTGCATCAAGAAATATTTAGTGCTATAAATGCCTACTTCTTTATTAGCCACATTATTTTGATGGGTGAATGATCACATTATAGCTAACATATCAATTACGCCAAACAAAGTTGTGGCAAAGGCAGGCTACATTGCTGGAACAGCTCAGAATGATCTGCATACCAGCTGGAGCTAGGCAGGATGATAACAATCACTGAAAATATTGCACACATGGTTTCACCAGGATACCCTAATGAAAGTAAACTTTATCACAGGGAAACAGCTGATAGCTATTCTCTCATTTATTAGGAAAATCCAGGTTTTAATAGATTTTCTATAGAAAACTGGGCAGAACATATCAATGTGGTAGCTAAAGAAAAAGTAACACATGATAAATACAATACCTAAAGGAATGTCATAATCCGGAGTATTATTTTAGGGATGCTGATATAGCTCTCTCAGTAAGGCTATTTTATAGTTGCCACTGAATTGTAAAGTTATCTGCCAAGAAATGTATTTATATTTAGAGAAAAATTATTAAAAAACATGTGCTCACAAGTTTTATTCCATGTGTGGGCCAGTAACACTCCCACACTGGAGACTGTTAAGTATTTTAGGCTCCAGCAGCAGTGGGATCACCTTTGGATCAATTCTACTCTCAAGCTACTTTTACATTAAATTACATTTGTATTTTATACTCACGTTGGGTTCATTATGAGTCGACGGAAGAAGTAAGTCCAGGTGATATAATCCATTGCATCCTGCTTAGAAGTAATAGTGCCAGCAGCAATTTCGGCATTCAAGTGGTCAGCCAGCACTTCTAACAAGCTGAAGAACAGGAAACAAGAGGATTTAGCTGACTTTACAATCACAAAGACAGGTAATATATTTTGTAGAGTCGTGCATTAAAAGGTTTATTACTTTTAATCTGAAAATATTATATATTTATCTTCTGGTAAAAGAAGAGAGGGGAGTAAGGGGGAATGTAATTGCAAGGTCGGTCATCTTCTTTACATGGTAGTGGAATGAAGCTCAAATTATTTTTTGATTGGACCAAGAACGCACAAGTTTAAGTAATTCATGGAATGCATTCAGATGGAGCTACTCAGTGATAACTTCTGAATACTGTATGTTGACCATATGATCATGCTGGTTTAATCCAATAGAGAATCATATGGAAAGACAAACAGGAAATTAAACAGTGGCAATAGCTTAGCTAATACTTGACAAATACTTGAGGGCTAGTAAAAATACTATTAAAAACTGCTTCCCCCAGATTTTGCCTCATCTTCATTCAATGTAAAAAATAAACAAACAAAACCCAGCCACTTTTACCCAGAAAGATCTAAAATCAGAAACACATAAGAACAAAAGCAATTTAAAATGGTTCCTGTAAAGTACTGTTTAGTGCAATTAAAATGGGACAAAGGCCTCCATCAGGGTATCTAATGAGATCATGCCTGGCTACAGTTCAGTCAAGGAATGGCAAATATCCTTATGGATTATTCTAATTTTTCTTGTATCACATTTTTTAAAATCATTCTTTTTCTATTGTTCCTTCCCTATTGATAGAAGTAAAGAACAATCTCGATAAAAGTAAAGAACAATCTGGTATGAGTAGCTGTTTTACTGCTCTGTATCACTGATCACACACTTCTGAAGGTGAGAACTGCAGATGTTCTACCCAGATTGTCCAACAGAAACTGGACAGATGATTCAATAGCTATTTATTAATAAAATGTGTTTTCTCTTTTGCTTCTGTTGTGCTGTATTTCAGAGCTATGTTCAGTGAGAGCACAAGGCTTGTTACAAGTTGTGTACTTGAGACTTACAACTAATACATAGAGAATGGCTTTTAGAAAAAACTAATTAAAAAAAGATGAAGTTTAATTTTACAAATTGGAAATACTGCACACAAAGCTGATAAAACTGCTCTTCGGTAGAGCAGATGGTAGATCATTCTAAAACTAAAAACCATCCCCAAAACCCTCAAACAGTGTCTCTTTAAAGCTGTGAATCCTCTTCCTTCAAACACTTGATCATAAAAGAGACCAAGAAAACTCTAAGTTAATTGGTTCACAACCTACATAGGACTTAATGAGGTTGCTATTAACATATGAATCTTCATCTGAAAATCTATCAAATATTCTTTGTTTATAGGAAAAGATAGAATATATCAAACTACAAAGTAAATATGTATACACAAAGTGAGCTATTAGAAACACAGAATACTTACAGTGTTCCAAACAGGAACTAAGAGTGATTGTTTTGTTACACTTTCTTTATTTAGAAACACTACTTACTAATGACATATATATATATGACATTATATATTAGATATATATATATATAACACCATAACACTATATTAGTTGTCTGAGAGTTCCTCCATGAAACATGCATCTAAAGGAGACCGATATAACTACTTCTGCTTGTTGTTCAACAACTATATAAATAACTATATCAATATTATATCACAACCAAGGCACAAGTTACATTATGCTGGACAGCAGGCTTTGTATAAGCTAAATTCAGAGAGGCTGCAAAAAGGTGGTGTTTCTAATTTTCTGAGACAAATACTGAAATTTTGAATAGAAAGATGTGTTGAAAGTATGTTAGTAATAACTTACACCATGCAGAATTTGAAGAATATGGTATCCATAATGGTACAAGCACTCTAGGAAAAAATTCTAGAAACTCACCTATTTTTTTTCCTATTAAGAATTTGCCACAGAATTTCAGAGAGTGTTCTGAGAATCATGTATAGCTGTCCTACATGTTGGCCTTGAAGAACAGTTTGTGCTCTTATTCCAATGTCTGAGACAAATGCCTCTCTGGTTTGGAATGTTGTAATATTATTGGGGAATGGAATAAACAGCTCAACAGTGCTTCAAAACTCGTGGAAGAAAGGAATGGATAATATTTTTTTGAAGATTATTTTCCTCTAGGACCCCAATATTTAGAAAGATATTCAGTACAGGAATCTTGTTTCACTTTTTTTTATTCTTCATTTATAGCATTGTTTACAGTTTGATCAGCTTTTCTGATTGCCTTATCTTTACCTTGATTCCACTGGGAAAGGTTCATAAAGGAATTTTTTGTAGAAGTCTTTCTTAATATCATGGACTAGAATTACAGCTTTTCCTTGGTCATCAAACTGTGGCCTGCCAGCACGTCCCATCATCTGAAGTACATCTGCCAAAGAGACAATAGTGTATAAACTGAACATATTTATTTGAATGTGCAAGTAGATATATTTACATCTGTACAGTGTGCAGTACAGGATTTTTTTTTATTTCTTTGGCCTTGTATGCCCTATTGGTTTTAACACATCTAATTTTTTTTTTTTTAAATCTTGAATTTACAATGAACTTTTTTCTGGCAGAGACTATCTTCCTGCATACTTGAAGACCACCCATGGCAACAGAATCCACCCTTACATCTAACATAAATTTCCTCTACTCTCCTTCCATCCCACATCCATTCCTCATTTTATCATATGCAGTTAAACATAATGAATAAGACAAGTCCTGAAGCCTACAATGGCAACTGTCTATAGTTTCCTAATTTTCAAGTATTTGACTTCACAATAGTTCAAGTTCCTTGTATAAGCTTTTCTGCTATACAGGATTTCCTAGGTCTTGAATATTTTAGAGACAAAATGGCAAAAGCAAATTCTAATTATTGAGAGCTATGATCTTTACCACTCAAACTTATGGACAAGTTATATCAGTTATTAGCACTGGAGTAGAGGTGGTTTTGTATCCCATGTTGTCTCCACATCAGATCAGGATATACAAATATAAAAGCAGGTACAGTTAAAGCTTACCTCTACTACTCTGCCTACACATCACTTGCAAATACTAGCTAAAGAATTGTATAAACGCTGAAAATACTAATGTGCATATCATCTATTTGTTTGTGTTTTCCCATGACCTGAGAAGGGCATCTGCATAAGTTGTTTTGTGTCTTGTTCAACAGAGCCTTGATTCCTTAAAAGATGCCTCCAAATGCTGTTTAACTTTGAAGAAACAATAGAAAGCAATTCATAAGTAAATTTTACCTCTTTATTTTAAAAGATTTTGTTTTGTGTACTGTTTATGAGCTCTAGCATACCTGCACAACATATGGCCTGCAGTACCCTGGCATTATGAAAAGATTTGTTTGGCTTCAGAATCAATGGGCTTTTGGCTCAGTTGAGGAAGGAAAATTCAGAGCATGTAGAATGGGACCATGATAGGAGAAACAGCCCAATGACAATAAACAGTGTTTAGTAACACATTTTCACTTGTGTACCCACAAGCTGCCCAGACAACGTTTTTTATCAGTTTATTCTTTTTGTTAATTGAGGAGTGACATGAAAATGTAAACTGAAACCAGTTTGATAATGATGTTTCTGAATAGGTATGTGCACGGGAGGGTGATGAAACAACTTCTTGCTATTCTAATGTGGTGAATTAAATTGTGCATAATACCATATTGGAAAGGGATTTACCAAAAAGCGCCAGGAAATGATTTTTGCCAATATCCACTATGTAATTATCCAAAACCAATATTATTTTTTTACTGACTAGATGTTGCTTGGCTGCTTTTAATCACTGGACTAAACTCCTGAAACATTAAATATGATCCAACTGGCTGACTAAATGTCTGGTAAGTGAAAAAAAGGCCCTCCTCAAACTCTCCGACTTCACTCAAATAAATACTTTTACTTATTTTGAAACTACTTGAACACTCCATGATTCATTCTGCTCTCAGCTGCTTCCTTGAAGATAAATGCATCCTTGACACAGAAAGGTAACTTCAGCAGGGGGAAACCAAGTTATATCGTGACAGAACAGTGAATGAATAACTTGAGGGTGGCATTGAACACAGTATTTTGAAATTTTGGAAGTATTACAGAAAGAAATTAATTACATTTTCATTTTATTTCTGCTGCAAAACTGTGCTACCTATCCACAGAACTTCCGGATGCATAAATATTCTTTAGAAAGTTAAAAATAAAAATGCTCTAAGCAAACCACACCACATGTTTTTTCATAAAGTAAGGAATCTGCATTTTCTGTTACAGTGCAGACAACAAAATTTAAATGCTTCCATCACAGATGCTGGTGCTCCATTCCATCCCCTCCCCCACCCCAGTCTCATTTAAAATTCAAAAATTGAACAACCCCAATGTCCACGTCACCTGAATTCAAAAAGACAACAGAGTGAAAGTATAAGCATTCCATAAAGTCTTTGTATTTGTAAAACACGTCTAAACTAGCAGAGGAAGCCTTCAGTGCTGATTTCTTTTGAGCATAGTATTTTCTCTGATCTCTGTCAGTCCATCAGATTCAACATAAAATTTAAAACTTCAGTCGATTTCTTTCCTCATCATTTTTCTCCATTCAATAATAAACTCAGTTGTCACTATTCTTACAGTCAGGACGAGCGAGATACCACTTCCCTGCAGAGACTGCTTGTACTAGGTTTACATCACCCAAAGTCTGTCGCAAAATGCAAATGTGCATGGCTAAGCTCCCAAGTCATACCAGAATCTTTGAACAAGAGAGTTGGTTTGGAGATTGATCCCAAGCTTCTTGCAGAGAACTAACCACTAAATTAAGCTCTATGATGGGTTACTTGGAGAAGTAACCCCTGTAGTATTTTCATTTTGAGCTTTCTTTCATTAGTAAGCTTCTCTTACGTGAAAAGACAGTGTGTGGTTAAAAAGATACAAGCTCTCTATGTTACAAATCACATTTAGATTGTCCTTAGGTGTACATATCCCTGTGTAGTATAGGGCTATTTAATAATAAACTTTGTCTTGTGAAAATAGAAAATGAAAACAGAACAGGAAACCTGGAATAAATTTAGCTTGTCCTCATTCCTCAAGCTTAGCACTATCTAGATATTCTCCTGTTTGAACTCCGAAAGAAGTTCTTCCACAGTTCACTGCCTTACTTAAGGCTGTTGAAAACACTGCAGAACAGTTTATGAAAAGTGGAGTTCACTGGAGCCAGAAAGCAATAAAAGTCTGTATCAAACTAGAAGTTAAAATATTTAATATAGCTGCTTATTTCTGAAGTATCAATTACATCACTGAAGATACTAGACTAGTTAAGGTTTATAGTTTACTGTCAATTGACCACGTATACATTTTATGTTCTCCTACATGTGTGATTCAACTGCTGTGTTTCAAACCATGGCTAGTTTACTGTTAAAAATGGGTCTCTTTCTATTTAAAAAAGGTTTAAAAAAATTTGCATGCATGAAAATTTGCTTTTGTACAATTAACTAGGTAGATAAATATGACTTTATATTGTCCCTTTAATTGTTTCATGTCTATTTTGGATGATACAGATTAAAGGAATTTAGCACAAAAAAAGATTTGCAAACAGAAACACTTTCATTATTACATAAAATCTTAAGAGTTTTCTTACAGTTTGCATTAAACAAAGAAACCCTTTCCTAGGCACTCCTAGTCTCTGCCCAAATTAAGTATTTTCAGTAATCAGTTATTAAATAATTCAGATCATCTGCATACGCTTGACATACATTTCAGCATATAAGCATTTCCATAATTTATGTGAGTACCTGTAATGGGATAATCCACATAACGCCTTGTTTTTCCATCATAGTATTCTGTTCCTTTAACAATTACTAAATGAGCTGGAAAATTTACACCCCAAGCTAATGTGCTTGTGGCAATAAGAACCTAAAACAGAAAGTAAGATTAATGAGGTATATGTAAAAAAACAAGCCAACTTTTAAAATTCCATGTAAAACTCATGATGGCAGGACTCAAAGAGCAAATGTACCTGGATTTTGCAGTTCACAAATAATTCTTCCACAGTTTTCCTGTCTCTCTCATGCAGACCTGCATGGTGCATACCTATTCCAAAAGCAAGTGTCAGCTTCAGATTTGAATCTCTAACTGTCACTATAATGTCATTCATCTGTAACAGAAAGAATAGTTGCATGTTGTAAAGCAGATCACTCAGAAATTTTAAACTTTAAAGGTTGTTATGTTTTTGTTTTATAGCAAGGTTAATTTGCTCAACATTGTTTATACAATCAGGAAAACAGCCTTCACTCTCTGAACAGTCTGGTTTTAGTCTAAAAAAAAATCAAATACTATATTAATGATGGGAGGGAATACAAAATGTACATGACTTTATTGACACACTAAGTAGCACAGATAAGGAAATGAAAATGCTGAAAATATCTTGGCAGGTCTGGCAAATGCTGTGCGTTCTGCTCTGTGTTTGTTTAATGCAATCCCTAGTATCAAAGGGGTTAGAACTAGTGTAATAACATAGCAAATCCCTTCAACCACTAACATAACAGTAATGAAAAAGAAATTTGGCTCTCTCTAAAGAAAAGACAGACACAGTTTTTCAGTTTGATAATTCTTCAATTATTATTCACTAAAAAAGTTTCCTATTCACATGCTGAAATGCAAGTGAATTTGAAAGTGTTTTTTTTTTTTTTTTAGTATAAGTTTGTAATTTACAGACTCAAACTTTGTAGTGAAACCAATCTATATATAATGTGTCTTTATTTGAAACTTTTAGAACTCCAGACAAAAAGATATTTTTTATTATTACTACTATTTTTGTCAAATCTCATGTCAATGACTACTTGGAATCATTTAAACTACTGTTATTTTAGCTATATTTCTTGCCTATTTTTTCCAAGTAGTGAATTCCACAATAAGCTCATTTATTTTTGCAGATAACCTCTGTGAAAAGCTCCTCTATAATTCCTGTCTTGTTTAGTGATTTTACCCCTCAATATTTTTTTCAATTGTTTTATTTCCATGCCATTTATTATTTTATGTGATTTTAATATAATTATAGCCAGGAACATTCAAACGTCATCTCTTATTAGTGGTTTCCTGGTGCCACCAGCAGTGGCATGATGATATTGCATACTTATGGGCATCATCATTCATGGTTAACCTATGAGGTATAGCCAAAGTTAAGAGAAAAAGTAGTAGTACAGAACAAATTACTGAGGGTAACTGAAGAATTTGGACAGAGTATTCAGTCTTGGATTGAGTATCCCAAAGTAATCACATATGATACCTGTATGACTGCACTAATATTTTCATTTCCACTTACGACTCCGAGGCGTTGCACTTCCCATGTTCACAATTGTAAAATTCTCTAAATGTTTGCTGGGTTTTATAATTCTCAGACCTTTATGCTAATAAAATTGTTCACATATCTAAACCCTAGTAACATGTTTTCACTATTATCCAACAAAAATCATTAAAAGGTACAAAGAAGCCAGAGAATACTAATCTATATTCAGGATTAAAAAAAAAAAACAAAAACAAACAAACCAAAACCAAACAAACAAATAAACAAACAAAACCAAAAAAAGAATATATATTTTATAAATCAGTCGTGTCAGGAAGAGCAAACTACAAAGCATTTTAAAAAGTCTATTTGTTGAAGTATTATTGACCAACAGAAACAGAACCAGTGGAACTAACAGAGAATCCAATCAAAAAAAGTATATTGTTCAAGTTTTTGCTTGGTCCAATCTATTTGCTTTGCTATTGGAAGCTCCTAAACTTTATTTTCCCTCACAAGGCAGCTGCCTGGATGTTCCTGAGAGTTTCCTATAAGATGTGGCGGATTTGTTGTATAAACTTAGCTGGTATGTATAAAAGGATGCTTACAGACGAAGAGAGTGAAGGGGACTATAAAACACTGAAAGGAAAGGAAGTAGAAAGAAAAAAGCAATGAATTGAGAAGTGAAGAGGGGATGTCTAGGAAAGGGAAACAAGGAGAGGGGTAGATAAGTAGAAGGGCATAAAGAACTGAATGAAAGGAGGATATGTTCAAAGATAAAGTTTATCTATCTAGATAGAATCAGCAAATCTTTGATTTCTCTAGTCAACGCACAGACATGTGACTGCAGTGTAGAAAACGTGAATTATGACACATCTTAAAGATTTTTTCTTCCAAAACAAAAAAATAGCTTGATAAAATGAGAACCTGTATGTCATTTTCTGTATCATTATGATCATCATCATACATTACAAAACATATTTTTGAACCTATTAATGCTTTTTGTGCTATGGATTTATGAACTAGTACTAGCACTGCACAGGCTCCTTATACTTAGACACTTTGAGAAATAATAGTTATATGTATACAATAGCCAGGAAATTAACATGAAAAAATATGAAACAGCACTGTTAAAATATCAGAAAAATAAATGAAAAAAATAATGCATGTACATTTTACTCAATTTGTTTATTCAAAAATTGACGAAAGATCTTATATTGCTGAATTATTTTTTCTCCTTCCCACCAAGAACCATCACCTTGCGGCAGTTATATCTCTAATACGAGGGAACAAGCCAGTTCCAGTTACATTTATTTCATTATTCACACAAGCAGAATTTGTTATTGGGAAAATAATGAGTCTAAACTCCTTTTTCCTCTGGAAGAGTACAGGGATCAAATTAGTTGATTTGGATTAGGCTATAGCGATTAGACTGCTCTTTAGGCACATGCAGTTTTACAGTGTTAGTTATTTTCAGTACAGAACCTGAGCTAAGCCTTTTTGCCATGGAGTTGCCAGAATAAAACATCCTAAATTCACACTGCTGGGAATTTATTCAGAGATGTTCTTGCTTTTACAGTCAGTGGTGGTTATTTTTTTTTCCCTCTGACTTGTATTACAGCGGTGGCCTGTGGTGCTGTTAGTCATACCTGCAAAGCAGTGTAATTTACCACAGGAAAACTAAAGAACCCTTAGCAGGAGAGCTGGCACATGTACTACTATCCTGTCATTTTAGCAGCAGGGAATCCTAGTCATTTTTAGCTGACCCCTTGCTTTCACATAAATCAATGTAATAAACACAACTATTTTACCCATAGGCACAATCCAAGGCTTAAAATTCTCATGACAATTTATTTTAAAATATAACTCTGTTATGTCATTGTAGTGTAAGAATATTATCACTTTCTATTAAGAAATAATGGCCCAATTAATAGGTTCATTAACCAGAAACAGACACACCATTGTGACTACAACACAAATCCACTGTTTCTGCATTGTTGTAACTTCATTACTATTTATCTTTCTGAAAAAACTGCCATGTTAACTCATAAAAGGGCAAAGAAAATACACTTTAAGACCAGAAAAATTATATTATAAATAATATAAGGAAATATATATGGTACTGACATAAAAAAAAACCCCATACAACACCGATGCCAGAACCTTAATGCAAGGGGGGATTTTTCAGTGGACTCCAAGACAGGCAGGATTGGGCCCATTCGGAAAAAGGTTTTGCTATCCTTCACAGATTTTTTGATGAATAAACAGAAATATGTCTCGTGCTTTTCTACCTTTAGGTTGACTAGGAATCCACCTTTTAATAAAAAATGTTTGAAAACCAATTTTGGACTCTAGTAGCAATGCAAAATATTTATTATAAAAAATAAAATTTATTTCTACCTTTTATATTCTAATCTCTGAAAAAGCTAGATTTTTCTCAAACTAGTAAGTAGTCATTTTCTTTGTTCCTGCACATATGTAAACTGTTGAACCATTTACTTTAAGCTAATAGAACTTTTTTTATATTTTAAATTTATTATACTTAAAAAGCTTTTGTAGAAAGATAGGATTCCATTTAAGTAGATACATTACCCTGTGCCTGAAATACATTCCAGTCAGAGTATAATTCAGCAAGTTGATGACAATGCTGGCTCCAAAAGAAAGGAGGAGACCAGATTGGACAAGAATGAGCTAACAGATTGTGCAGCCCAATTCTGTCCCTTGGAGTGTGATATATTGTTTCAAGATGCTAAAAACCCATACTTTCTCAAAGCATATCTGTTGTGCTGGTTTTCCCATTTTCACAGAATCCTCATTATTAGTACTCTGTACTCTTTTCAAAGCACGTCAGACTCGGACCATATGCCACTGAATAATGCTTATCAATTGTCTAAAATGCCCAATAGAAGAAAGATGTGCCAAACAAAAGAATCGTGAAAGTTATGAAGTCTTTTACAAAAATAATTACATATTTCACATCTGCTACAGATGTTAAGTGAAATAAAAACATCTCCTTGTTATAACCAAATGTTAATTTTTTATGACACACTTTTGTGTCATAAAAACAACATCTTGTAGGAGGAAGTTGAACTTCTATAATGAGCGAAACAAGTAGAAATCATTCTTGGGTACCCTCCTGGATCTTTAAAGGCAGAAAGAAAAAAAAAAAAGTCATTTTATAAATTTATTTTTGATGAAAAGTTGACTAATCTGCATACTCCAGAACTCCCACACACAAACAAGGTGCCTAAAACACCTCAAATAAGATTGTTCAAGAAACATTTTAAAATGTGTTTTAAACAGTCAGGATATATTATTGAAACATACACATTTAACACTAAAAATCTCATCTAAAAGACAGCAATATACCTATTCATGACACAGACCAGATTCTTCTATTCCAGTTTTATAGCATGGCATTACCTCAGAACAATAACACAGAGATAATAGGTTCTTTGATTTAAAGGATAAAGAAGGAAAAGTCATCTTTTGTCTTTCCAGCAATTCTTGGGGTTTATTTTGTTTGCTTGTTTTTTTTTGTTTATTTTTTTTAACAGTGCAAACCAGAACTATATGGTAAAATTTAATTCACACTCATGCATGTGTATGCATATTTCCACATAGTGTATAAACACATTCACAAATCCTTAATTAGCTCACACATGTTTATATACTCACATCTCTAAAACTGCAAAATCACTATGGGCCTGAATTCATGCTTTTGGAGTCAATGAATGCCCTGCATTCAAGCACCCTTGAATTCAGTGGAAGCTGGCTATTGCCTTGTATGTATGCTATTGAATACTACAGTAGGTATGTTTGTGCTAAAGGATTTTAGTTATTTCTAGAGGTTTTATAAAGAACAGTCTTAACAAGATGCAGATGGGAAAATGATGCACAAAGCAGAATGCAAAAATCACTGTGGTTAAAGTTAAAACTGTGTACATGGGCACATTTCTTCTCCATCCTTGCACTGTAAATATATTAAAAAAAAAATCCAAGTATCTGGCAAGGGAATAAATTTCCTAAATAAAACAAAACAACCAACCCCAAATAAGAAAACACCCTGCATGTTTGCTGGTGAGAACTGAATTCTAACTTCAAACAATAAACAATAAATACCACTTTGTACTTTTGTTTTAGGTTAAAAACAAAAAGCAGTAAAAACATTAGAGGAAAATAAATAAACTGAAAACTTGATTCTAATAAATTATGTTGTAAAAAGATTGCAACATCTGCTGCCACCACAGATGGAGATGCAATTTCTGAAAGAGGACTTGTTCCTCTTTAGTCAGCTCCTAATGTAGAACAGTATAACTAATCTTACCCAAGCTTACCATCACAAACTGGTGGCACTGTCTGTTTCCAAAAGGATAATCTGAGCTATTGTCTCTTTTAACAAGATAAGTAATGGGCTACAAGCTTGAACATGACAGTCTCGGCTGACAGCTCCAATTTAGAATTTTAGCTAGAAAGTGTATATTTAAAAAATCATCTCATGATTATAGAAAAAAGCAGAGTAAGCATACGGTTTTCTTTTTTCATTGGCACATTGGCATCAATGAATAATAAAAAGAAAGGAAGAATTACTCAGTTCACAGTAGCAGCCTTCTCTTTCTCTTTGTGATGCACTGCCCATTCACGTTTCTCTCATGATGCACCTGTGCCTCCTGAGTATAACTGGGACGACCTTTACGGAGCAACGTCTACTGAAGAGCCTTGCAGCTACTGCAAATGGCAAAGGCAGCAGCTTCAGCTGCTTCCTCACTCTTTGGCAAAAAATAAACTCTGTTGGGACTGTAAACTCTAAGTGGGATAGAGAGCTCATTTTGGAATGTGTATGGACAATGCACTTTATAGAAAAAGCAAATAAAAACCTTTAAGGCTTTAAGACATGTAACTTTTTTGTTGTTGTTGTTGTTGTTGTTTGTTTGTTTGTTTGTTTGTTTGTTTTTAAGAGAATGGCCGCTCAAAAAACTCAAAAGTCAAAACTCTTTTGACCAGTTACTTTGGGCAAACTGTGACAGATCTCCTTAAATCCTGAAGGTCTGCATGTATTATGCATAGCAATCAGCAAACAAGGGGATGTACTTTGAAGTACCAGCTGCAAATCCCACTAAGCAGGACATTTCAACATCACTGGAGGCTTCCCTGCTCAGACTAAAGCAGATGTGAGGTATTTGAATGGAGATTTCTTCACAAAAAGCATGCACATAGCCTGCAACTTAGTTGGACAGAATCTAGCAAACAGATATAACTATTGTTGTGCAGTAACAGGTCCAGCAGAACTGGAAAAACTTATCAGTAATAGAAACAGGAACTTTCATCAAGGACTGTTTGGTCTTACAAAGATTCACTGCTCTTTCAACTTTCTGAATACTGTAGAAACATGGCTATGAGCAGGAAACTGAACATCAGATATAAAATACAAGGAAAGCATCCGGGAAGAAGCATCTCCAAAACCAAACGGGGCTGCTTGTAATATATATTTTCAGTACATGGATGTAGAACAAAATTCCTTCTCAACCATAATTCAGTTGCAGCTTTTAGAGTCCTGACTTCTTTGAAGGGAAGAACATCTGTAATTCCTTCATGGTCTAGCTACGTCTACTTTGGTGGCAACAGTTGAAGGGTTGTTTCGTATGCCACACATATACATATATGTATTCCAGAAGCTTCATACAAGTTCATGTCCCTTGAAATATAACTGATTGGAATATTGTCTGAATTTGATACTTGGAGCTAGGTGGCAGAAATGGACGTGGATTTGCCTGTTATCTGAAGAGGAGGAGTCTGGAGTTTTGTGAACAGAACCCTTCCTATGCTGCAAAAGGAGAGCCTGACTTGGCACTACCACTATAGGGAGAATCTCTACAGAGAATAGAAGTGAAGCTTAGATGATGGTACAGCGGATAAACAGGTAACAAAGACCCAGTATTGGTCTCCTCCCCACTCCAATCCCTCCCCCGACAAGGCCTGAATCTGTTACCATCACAGAAAAGCTGCCATGCAGAGTAAGGGAGAAAAATTGCTTTTAAAGGCTGTAAGAATCTGTGTCCATCAGATCTGTGCCTATCACTGTTCCAGATGTTATTTTGGATGGCATTGTTTATGGTGTTTTAAGAAGTCTTATGAAGTCTACCCACTGGAAAGCTGTCATTGACTAACATTTGGCCATCATGTAGCAAAAACAATTACACTATTAAGCAAAACTAACCAACGAGTTCTCAAAGAAATCTTACGTCAGCTAGACTGAATATCACACAAATAAAGCTGAACTATGAAAAATGGCACGGCCTGCTGCAGAGCTTGTAAACCTTGTATACATCTATTTATGAAAAACCTCTTATATCTATCTCAACATACTTTGCAATTAAAAATATTTTGAAAATAAGTCACTTGTCTGTAAGTTCCCCTAAAAGAACAACAGTTGGCAAAAAACAAATATGAAAAACTTGACAGGCAACAAAAAAATGTTGTTTAAAGGCAACAACAATTTATTACTTCTACCTGGGCCATTTTTATCCCATATGGAATTGAGAAACACTTGAAATACGTGGGTATTTGAGACACAGAATGCCTATCATAAAGGCATTTAAAATCACTAGTGCTACTTTTAAAACTTAAAAATGCTATAGCAATACAGAAATAATTTTGTCTGTTTCACCTAGTTCAAGCCTGACTTCAATGTAACTTGAAGTTAGAATTTTTAAATTTTAAAAAAATTATGGACAAAGAATTAATGAGTGCATACAGTATGTATGAAGCACTGCTACAGCTTTCTCCTTTGCTTTAATGCCAAATGAAACTCAAGCTAATCATGCTCATTTAAAACACAAAACCACAAACTGATCCCATAATTACCTAAAGAAATGTCCATTTGAAATGGTGAGTACTACAAACACATTTGTGTTCTGCATGATAGTGGTAAAATGTAACAACTTAGGACTTAATGCTCAGTCTTTTACATTTTCGTAATCAGAACTGAGTAACCTGGTAGGTATCTTATGCTCCAAACATTCAGCTTATTAATTAAAATACAAATCATATGCAAATGTTATTAAACTAATAAATGCAAAGACTGCTTGTCCTTGTTGGATCCTCTTTCAAAACCTTCAGAGGTTTATTCTGAAACATATATGAAATTCAAAGACTCCTAATAGAAAACACTTTTTCAGCCAGTGAAGAAGCTTCAGTTACTGTTCTTTTCAGGATAGCAGTGGCTCACAGGACATGAAGAAGCTATTCATGTTAATGCTAGTGATGCAGAGCAAGATGCATGTTGCATATTCTAATTGTAGGTGAGATTACTACAGTAAACTAGCACAAGGTACTGAAGTATTCTACAGTGCAGTAATAGTTTTGATATGAAATATTTGCTATGCTAAAAAAAAAAAAAAGAAATAGCAGCTATACAGTTAGAAAAGCTTCGAATTAAGACATGTTTTAGTACTAATAGTTTTTCAGCCAAGACATCCATTTTTTCTTTTAAAATCCATCCAAAATAGGAAGGATACAGATGTTAACACTATCTCAGAGAGATCACACACTATTTTTTTTGTGCAAAGAACAAACAAAATCAAATTACCTTATCTAGAAACCTATACTTTTTGGCATATATTTTTTTGTATATAATTATACAACTACTCAGAAAACCATATATATATTTATATTAATACAATATGAAATTTGGACATTGTATTTATAAGTAATTAATTTTGCTGTCTTGGCCCTATATTATCACAGAAATTCCTACGCAGGTCTGCAACCATTAGAAAAAGATAAATTCCCAAATCTAGGAAATCCAAGTATCAACCAAAAAAAATTTCTTGACGCAATAATATACTATAATCAAGACCATTAGTCCAGAAGTAAGTAAGTAATTCTGTATTCAGAGCAGGTGCCAAACTGAGTGCAGTATATGAAATCTAGTATACATTTTGCAGAATGCAGACAAAACAGAATTTTGTTTGGTTATTTGTTATTTGACCATCATTCACGTTTTGCAATAAATGACAGAAGGATTTTTTTGAGAAACAATACAAGAAAATGTACGTATAGGTTTATATTACTTGAAAAAGAATAAAAAATTAAATCATTACTCCAGCATTGCTTAACATCTGACTATGTAATCCTTATTCTTATAACAAAGATACTGGCAGGAGCTATTTTTTTTAAAAAATAGCATTGATTTACTTCATTGATATCCAACACTAAACCATTCTTAAATAGCTAGCTCTGCAATATATATGTCCATATTTATGTATGAATATAGATGGATAGACACATGTATATACACCTGTGTACATATATACACATATATGTATATATGCATATACATAACCCTCTACATATAGAGTTATTTTATGAGAACGATGATGATTTTGCTGAAGAGATTTGGTTTAAATTCTGGCTCAACATCTATATGTCACAGATTTCCAGCTGTAAACTTTGGAGAACACTAGTCCTCTTTCTTTTATTCTTTGTCTTATCTTTGTATCAAAGACTTGTACCATGTGATGTATGTTGTCTGGGGACAATAGAACTAGCATTAATAATAGATAAGCAGGAAAAACAAAGATAAAAGAGTTTGCGTTATAAAGTTCAGACCTTGCAAAGACGCTTATTCAGTCTTAATCCTGACACTAGTTTTAATACAAACTGAAATTTAGCATGTGCATAGCTGTTTCAAGATCTACCCTCAAATGAATCTTTTGTATTAGATGTATTTTCTTTTCAAAGGAACATCAATAAAAGAGAAGCAAAGCACAAATAATGCAAGTATAATGATTCTACCTCTCTTTCATCCATCTTCAGCCACTGTTTGGGATCATCCTCTGTGGCTAGGAAAGCTATCAGATCTAAAGCAGTAAGCCTTGTCTGACGTCTGGATGACACAAAAATAAGCACAGGCTTGGCTGGAGAATGACTCCGAATTGCTGTTGAGGGAAAACAGAACTTGAGAATTAGGCCCTTTAATGATAAAAAAAAAAAAAAAAAGGTGTCTCTCTTTGCAATACCTACACATCTCTGCAGATGATATGCAGGTATGCATAATTAGCCTCTATTCTGCCAGATAGATATAACAGAGGTGAGCATCTACCATCTCTGAATCAAAGGTCGTGTAACTACGCTTAGCTGAGTGAGTTCATTTGCCCTGCTACTTCAGTGATCCCTGTCAGCTAATCAGGAGAAGCAGTTAGGAAAAAAAAAAAAAACACTCCAAACCACCACAAACCTGGACAAGTTTTCTAGACTTCAAAAACTTGTGAATTTCTCTCTCTCAGCTTAATAAGTATCTTTTATGTTTTTTTCTACCCTGCTTGGCTATATTGTTTCAAAGCCAGAGTTCAGACTGCACAAACTCATGTCTGCCTGCAAAGGATCACTTCAGTCTACCAGAACGAGAAAAGGCAAAAAAAGGTAGAAAGTGACTTTTCAATAACTGTTGTGAAAGTGGGCATTATGGCACAAAAGAACTTTGTTTCTGTTGTTTACTAATTAGCCTGATACATTTAAACCAATTATATTTTAAGGCTTTGAAGAAAAGCATTTCCTTGCTCAGCCCATGTTTGAAAAGTTTCAGCTTGCAGTGAAATCTTTATGGTATCAGGAATAAGCTTTGCCATGGAAATGCTAAAATAACCTTGACTGGATCACATCAAACAAGTGGGGAAAAAAAGCCCTCAGTAAATCATACGTGTACAGATTTTTCTAACATCAACAAGCACTAGAAGTATAAACAGGTGTATGTACAATTTCAAATACTCTCTCTAAATTTCTTAGAAATCCATTTGTGTGTTTTCTCATGTAATTCTCATTCTAGCAATTGAATTTATGCACTGTTAGTTCTGAAAACTGTTTTGTACTACCCATCATCACATATTGTTCCCCAGTTCATGAATACTACCCAGTATGTGCTCCTGCACATACACACACTGTCTAGTTGTGAAATTATTGAAACAGGATAATTCACGTGTATTTATACTTTACAACTATATATGCCAATATATCTATATATTTTAAAAGCCCAGCATCTAATGGATTTTTGTTGCTTCAGGAACAGGTGTGGCAGAACAGCCCAAGACAGATTTATTGTTCATTAGTGTTTTTGTACAATGCTCTTGTGAAGGTGTAAATAATCTGAGCTGTCAAGATTGGTCTCTAGTCCACAATCAATACTTTGCTTCTGTCATAAGGCTAATTAAAGCAGCTAAAAAGTCACCTCACAAATGTCACCTCACAATCAACAGCAGTTCACGTTACAAAATTTATTTTGGAGGTTATTTTTAATTGATATAATAAATATTCCTTATGTAACCAAACCAAAACATGTTCAAATAAAATATGAGAGTTTTTCTAGAATCCATTCTGCTTGCCAGGTTTGTTAAGAATAAAAAATTGAAAACAGAAGTATATCTGGACGCTCTACAAATTTTGTATTTTATGGTTATTGCTTTGAAACTAGAATTATAGGAGGTTAGCCTGACTTGCAACTTCTGTTCACAATTTTTTTAATGCTTACATTCAGTGGTCCATATGAAAATACCTCAGCAGATTAATAATATGAGTGGTTTTATGGCTTTCTAAATTTCAAATATTTTTACACAAATGTTTCTTTATGGTGTCAAACGCTAAGAGAAAACACATTTTATTTCCCCTTCATTAGTACTGATTTTATTCTTCTGTTCTAAATACATTACATTCCTCTGTTATATGTTGCATTTGCAGCACACTTTATGTTTCAGACTTTGGGCCATTAACAGAGCAGATTCCTCCTATATATGCCAAGAGTACATACAGTAACACATGTTGTAAATGTGCTGCAAATGAACTGTGTAAAGTGCTCAAAGTCTTTTTTTCTTTTCCAGAAAGAAGGAAAAGGTCTAGGAGCTTGCTGCTTACCCTGAAATGCAGGTTTGTTCATGCTAGCCATGCGAGGACAGTAATGCTGGCCAGGGAAGCCCTGAATGTGCACCTCCAGAGGAACTGGCCGTACTGATGGTCGGAAGTTGAACAGACCCATCTACAAGAAAGCATGTTTTGCAAGTTCAACCTTGAATTATCTTATAAATTGCTATTTTGTTTTTCTGCAACACAAATACGTATCCATCTTCTGATATGTTTTTCATACCTGATTAATATTTAGCCAGTCTGCGAGATCTCTGGCATTTGCTAAAGCAGTGGACAAACCAACTACCCTCACAGGCTTCTCCGTGTGAGATGAGATGAAGTTTGTTCGAGACACAATGACTTCCAATACTGGCCCTCTCTCATCCCCTGGTAAATGAAAAGTCCATTGAAAAACAGAGAAAAAGAAAAGGTTTAGATGTCAAAAAGTTTATTCATGTCATAAGTATCAGAACACTTTGTCACATTTAGCAACGATTCTGATTATAAACAACTAAACATGCTCACCTAGCAGATGGATCTCATCTATGATAAGAATGGAAACCTTCTGAACGTAGCTTCTGTTCTGCCAGCTTCTGCTGACACCATCCCACTTCTCTGGTGTAGTAACAATCAAGTCAGCTTGGGCAATCGCTCTCATATCAGGAGTCACATCTCCTGTCAACTCTACAACCCTGTAGACAAGACAGACAGTGGCTTGGATTTACAAAGCTTTTAGAACAGCTTTATGTCCAAATATTAACTCCTAAACATTAACTCTGAAAAGAGGGAAGAAATAAAATTAAACAACATAATTCTGTTTCTGGTCAAATACTTCTGATGGGATTTTCAAATTTCTAAGTAAATAAACCTGTTTCTTTGTTTTCCTAGCAAATACCATAAAAATACCAAATACCATTCCTTAGCAAAATCATATAAATAGGAGAGGGCAAATATGAGTCCCAAGCCATGTACAGTTAATTTAAAAAAAATGAAGAGTATTAGTATGATACAATGTGAATCATAACATCCTGTCACAGCCAGGATAGTCATATCAACTTGCTGCCTGCTGTTCTGTATAGATCTCTGGTTTGAATAATAAGCTTAAATGGAAGTGTACCTGCATTTGCTGCTGAAATCCCATTAAAACTGGAAAAGAAATTATTCTCAGGTAATTTTTTGGGAAGATTATCAGAGTTTTTTTCAATTGTTTGCATCATTAGACTTTCAAGTTCTACAAACAGCATTTGAGATGATCCATCTTTTTAGACTTGAATATAATGGATTTTTGATATTTCTATGACATATTCTATACCAAGTTGAACATCTAATAAAAACTCCTCAAAGTGATGTGTATCTTCTGTTCAAAATTTCAGTCAGAAGTAATAGAGTAAATTTCAAGAAGGAAATATTGCTTGAAAATTTTTTAAAATGATGAACCAAATAATTTATCCTCACAGACCATTAATAGCAAAAAAAAAATTAAATTGCCAATAAATAAGTCACTGATATGATATTAGTGGGAATATCACTGGTTATTTCATGTACACAGAGTAGCACCCCTTTTTATTGAAACCTTTAGAGTGCTTTGAGCTTTAATTTACAAAAAAAAAAAAAAGGTAGGAAAGGTCCTAAATAATGCATCCTATGGACATAATTTTTAACTCAAGAAAGTATAATTTTGGAATGCATCAATATGATTGATATACCTTATATGTCATAAATTTATGTCTGAATTCCAACACCTGAGAAGATCAGCAAAAATTAATGTTACCCAGGAATAAAATGATATCTATCTTATGTAGGAAGGACTATATATGAATACTAGTACACAGTTCATTTAACTCCTATGACTTCCTTGTAGCTGAGGTTTCTAAAGACAGCTCATTTTGGATCGCAATTTCAAGTTCCAAAGATACTGTAGAGAGAAATCTGAGCTTTGTATTTGTTATACTGAGTGAAAATAGAATGATAATAGATGGGTATCCAAGTGTATCCCTTTTTCAGTTTTGATTTTGCTACCACCACAGTAACCACTGATAGCAGGTTTTATTTTTTAAGTACTAGAAATTTGAAGAACAGTATAGAATCAAAACCTATCCTGAAATATTCAAAAGTATTCTTTATTCATACTTGATGGGCTGTTCTTTTGCTTCTCATTCTCTGATTAGGTAAGGAGAAACATACTTTTTACCAAGCTTTTCTTCAATCCTAACTTTCCAGTCCTCAATTCTTTCACGAACGAGTGCTTTTAAAGGTGCAATATACACTGCCTGAAAAAGAAAAGTCACAAAACCAGAAGTTAAGTAAGAAACCCTTATTACAGTGTACCTACAAGGAAAAAAAATATTTAATATTTGTGAGATTTGAACATAATCACTATCTACAGAATTACTAGGGCCTGAGTTCCTTAAACCACCTACAACAGGATTATACTTAAAACAGACCTAACACTTGAAAATACTGCTTTATTTCCTGAACTATTAACAAGCAAGTAAATTAAGAAAGAGAAAAAATAATTTCTTGAAATGGAAGTATTTATCACACCATTTAATATCAAAACGTACTTATATAAATAACGCCATTTTTTGCCAGGACTATCAAATCTGCCAGCAAACATTCCAGAACAGAAATAATCAGAATTTCCAGCAAGCAATATCCTACCTGACTTCTAGTTATGCCTTTAACTTATTAGAACATTACCAGTTAAATTAAAAAGCTGATTATTTTAAGCAAAATTTTCCTTAAAGAAGCCTGCTGTGCAAGAGGAAATACTCTGACACATAGAAACAATATTTATTTACAGATTTATAGTTAAATATGTTGAAGCTTTTGAACATGAAGAAACTGCTACAAGAAGATTTCACGTACATTCTTTAAAATGTACACCCAGGTTTTCAGTTTTATTACAACCCAAAAGATATATTTCTTTGAAAAATGTCCATTTTGTAAGTCTAATAGATAAGCTGAAAATGAATGAGGAGCTTGTTTACCTCACTTGGACTAACAAATTACATGAAGATCTTGAAATTTCAAAGATGAATAAGGGATTTATGTACATGATTTCTATTAATTTCAAAGGTTATTCTTTGGTTAAACCTCACAGTCAGATACAAATATCTTTTCCAAAGACTTTAAAGCTAAAATGTGGTTAACTAAGACAAGATGGCCAAGTCAAGATACAAATATATATTCACTTTGAAAACAAAACCCCAAAAGCTAAGTTGTTCAGCTTTTAGGCAATTTAAGAAATAAAAGACAGGGGCAAGTTGGAACAGCAAATTGGCTTGTAGTAAGTAACAGCAGCTTATTTGTTTAAATATGAGACCGCGCTAGTTCTATTCACATGGAGGGGAAGTAATAGCTATTAAACACTATTTCTGCTAGTAGAAGGAAATTAAAGCAGGAAATGCAGAAAAAGTACAGAAAAGGAAATCCAGCATGCCTGTATGTCATGATTTCAGATTTAACTCTAGAGTACACTGATTAATATAGAAAAAAATTAATAATTAACATATTAAAATATATAAAGTTGAAACAAAAGCATAGTGTATATAATGCAGTACCATTGTGTATCCAGGCAGATAACTGGAGAAAGTAAAATTCAGTTTGCCATAGTCTTTTTCTAGAGGTTTGTACTGCTGAAAACATGCCTACACAAAATGATTCTAGTAAATCTATTTTACAAACCTTTGATGTGGGATATTTATTAAAAACTCTAAAGATGGCTAATTCAGCTGCAACAGTTTTTCCAGAACCTGTAGGCGCTCCAAGAAGCACATTACAGTCTGTGTGATAAAGTGTATGAAATATCTGGGTCTGGATAGGGTTGAAGTGGGTGAATTTGTACAGGACTTCATATTCCCGATGTCCCAAGGCTGTGATAGGTAGAGGCTGAAGATCTAGAAGCTCTAAAACCACAAAATAATCATAAGTGCACGACAAGAGATGCCACAACATAACAGAGTTTATAATGACGATAAAGATATTAACCAATATTTCAGCAGAGAACAACTTACATTGGGAATAGTTTTATTTAATCTCACAGGACACAGAGTCCACATTTTGGTCATTGACAGTTTTGATGAGGAATAATGAAAAGTTGATTTTATAGCACTGAAGTATTTCTGCAAGTACTGTTAGTATTCTGACAGTTGTGAACCAGCCATTTGCACAAATTAACTTTTTTTTTTCTTAAAGCTGTTTGCTTTTTACCCAGCTGTAGTAAGTTCTAAATTTGCTGTATTAGATTATATATATGTCCAGTTTATGATAACAGAATGCACAGTTGGAGGACAGCATAGTCTGTATATTTTAGATTCAAGGAAAATAACTATTTAAAGAAGAAAGGATTATTTGGAGTTTCTAAGTTGATGAAGTAATACAAATCAGATGAATACAACTAAATTTTGCATCTAATCCTTTAAACATGTAATTAAAGACACAATCTGAATAAATAAACAAACAGCCTTTCAATATATGATTCTCAATATATCTTGAGGGCATCTGCTATCCAAACAAATAGAGATTGTGGAATTTGGAAGATGATATATATAACCAGATTGGATTTGGAATCCTACCAAATTAAGGAGACTGCAGTGATTCTGCTATGCAGATGCTTGCTTTGAAGTTTGGTTTGGGTTTTTTTTTATTTTTTTTAATTTTTTTTAAATTTTTTTTTAAGTTTTTTTTTTTTTTTGTGGCTAGAGGTCTCGTTGCCTTTTCAGGGTGCTTCACATTAAGGTATGATATGGGAATCATAAAACCTACTGAGGCAAAGATGCCTAATATTCTTCACATGCTTTTCACTCATACCTTATGGCTGTTTTATCATTCCCACTGAAACTGTGATTTCTTGGTCTCTGTTGAGGAGAAAGAAGGTTTTTTTTGCCTAGCAGGGCCTCTACGTACTTCATTGTTGAGTGGGAACCAGATGGGAATTGAAATCAATTACCATAAATCCTAGAGGCTCCATAACTGGTGATGTGTAAATATCTTTCTGTTTCTTCTGAATAGTAGTCAGTGATCAGTCAATTAGATAAAAAGGTTACACATGCTTTTCCAGACAGCGTAGGTACAGTATAACAATAGCTAAACACTTCACAAACACATGTGAATTTACACATGCCAAAGGACAACACCGTATGAGAACCGAGTATTTCTGAAGGCACTCACTTCACAGACTGCTAGATGAGCCAAATGTAATTACAGCAGAAAGGTTTTACAATGACATCAGGCACAATGAATGCATAAAGCAATTTATGTATCCAGAAAAAAAAAGAAGCAAAACACAAACATATGCCTCTGTGCCAAGTGTTAAAAAAGGAGGGGGAGGGCAAGGCTGTGACTTGATCAGCAGTGCCGAGTTGAAATGTGATGTTCAGTACTGTAACAGTGTTTGTTATGATAAATTTATTTTAGTAAAAAGAGTAAAATGTTTCATATTTTCAAAATTTTAACTGTTTATTTTTAATTTGCTGAATGCCATTTAAAATACAACCATCTATTCTAAGACTATTTTAACCAGTCCAGAAGAAATGTAATGCTTACAAGTGCTAAGACTTACTGTAATATAGAGATGTGCTTGGTTTTATACAACAGTTTCAATTTAACTATGTTTTATAGAGAAGCTGGAGTAACTAAAAGGCTGGTATTAATGAGATGCTTTTTGTTCAGGAATTTAAAATTTTAGAGCACTTTAAAGTTAGTAAAGAAATGGTTTCCATAATACAAATATATCATAAAGTGAAATTCCATGTGCTTTTCCACGATGAAGCAGATGTTAAGAAATCTGCTGAACTATCATAAGAAAAATCAAAATAAGCAAGATGAATTAAAACAAAATTATCAAGTTTGTAGTTACCTGTGTGAGGTGGATGTCTCTCTGGAAGAATCAAATGTTGAAAATTTATGATACACACAGCCTCTGCTCCTAACCATCTATCGGAGACAGCTCGAATGTAATATTGAGATGGAAGAGGTTCAAAAATTGGGATTGTGAACACCAGCTGTTGAGGTTCTCTAGTAATGACCTAATGCAAATGTGTAGAGAATAATTACTGCACAGGCAAATCAGTAACTTGAAAAATCATAGTTTGCCTTATGTCCACGAGCACTACCAACACAAAGCAGTAAAGTATGTGTGCGACTCCACGTGCAAGATTTGCACATCTTTATAAAATATTTCATCATTGGGAATGGATTTTGTTTCCAGGGACTTCAAAAGGTAAAAATTAGGCTGGCTCTTCATCTTTTTCTTTAATAGACAAAATCATTACAGTCTTTCTTTTTTTCAGCTGGAAATAACTCTTCCACCAGAGAAGGAGGAGAACAAGGGACATCTGAGTGTTAAAAAGATCTTTGCAGAAGTCCAAGCTTATCATATACACCTAAAACTGAAAGCTGTGCTACTGATAAATCTGCTTGGGTCAAAATACTGTTTGACCTTACAAATCCACATCTCACTATAATTTTGTCTTCCTATGAGATTCTGAATAAAATTGATTACCTGTTTTTTTTGAATGATGAAGTACTCTGAATGATAAATGTGGTCATTGGTAGGGTCTTCTACCCAAATCCACCAAGGCTCTCCAACAGTGCCGTGTACCTTTACGAATAGAAAAGGCAGCTTTGTTATACCTGTAATGAGGTTCTCTAGATTTGCTGCATATGTTGGATTTATTTCTAAATGATGTAGGCTTATAAAGGAATATAGAAATATAGAAATCAGAGGTAAGACAAAACATTTCTAATTAAAACATTCTAGTTAAAGATTATATTTCAGTAAGAGTTTGCTTAAGGTGCATATAATATAAACGGAAATGATACAAATGCAGTTGAAACAAGTGCCTCAGCTATTGACAAATAGAAGGAACTCTCAGCATTTCCTCTAGGCTTCTAAAAAAGGACTCATCCTTGTTCCTCCTTGTACTTTTGTCTTCAGATTCTTTACAGAGGATTGTCTTTTGCTATTTACTGCTCGATTTTCAGTCACAAACACTCTGTCAGGAAAAACGGGACACTGAATTGTGACATTCCTCTCTCTGTTAGAAAGATACAGAAAGTGGATTCAGAAGGCTGTAGAACTAGTCATTGCTACAGGTGGAATGAGAAAAACATAAGCAGAACCATCTCTTGATGTTTCCCATGCCATCTGGCAACACTTTATTCCATCCTAGATTTTTGTCTGCTTTGTTATGTACCTTATTTTGCAAGCCCAGACACAAATCATAGCTAGGTGGGATGCTGAGTAAAGAATCTTTGTTTCTTTGTCAGAATAAATGACTTGTGTCAAGGAACAAGCATTTTACTTCAATATTGAAGAAAAGAAGAAAAACACATAATAAAGAAGTATGCAAGGCATACTATTAAATGAACATAGATTTATGATGAGGACTGTGATAATGTACAAAACCAGTATGAAATGAATAAAAAAAGTTGGACTTATTCACCAATTTTAGTTAATAGGAAAACCCACAAGGTGCAGAGCTGCTTCTAATGGCAATTTCAACACTATATGAATCTGGTATTGATTCACACAGCACACGTTATTTTCAGCATAATTGTGTATATGTTGGAAAGCAGTCTGCACTGGCTTTTGAAGACCAAAATGTACTAAGAATAGAACTGAGGTGCTTTTGTTTCTTTTTTAACATGGTTGCACAATAGGTAAGTAGATGGGCAGTGAAGGCACTAACTCATTTTCATTACATTTGAATTTCACTAGCTGCTTCACTGGGAACTGAAGCAGTGAAACTGAAAGGACACAGGTCACTGCAGGTGACATTTTGAAAAATTACAGTGAAACTGTTCATCAGGGTTTAGGAAAATTTAAGACAGGAAAGAAGAATTAAGGAAGGCGATAAGGTTCAAAGCTCAGAAATTTTATTATCAACTCTAACGGCACCTTAATTTTGGCGAGTCCCCTGACAAAGCTGCATGGAGAAATACCTGCAGTGTGGCAACAGCCAATGCAACATGCTCTCCAGTAACAGTTCTCAAGAGCTCTAGGGAGCTCTTAAGAACCGACACATCCCTGTATTTTGGGCAACCATTGCCCTAAACCTGTGATATATGATTCAGCTAACTAATACTAGTTGCATTATTCTGTATTTCTGCTGGACTCTTCCTGGCTGCAGTAAGGCTTACTTGCTCTGTCTGTTTATAGTCCTTTCCTTGTAACAATTCTAATAAGAATTTTCCATGGGGATATGGCTCTCAAGCTTTTACTGAATGTAAGGGTTACCAACACTGAAAACTGCAGCAATTGAAGATCAAGACGACAACATATCTTCTGACTATCAAAACATATCTTCCTTCTCTTATAAAGGCAAGTGCAAAATTTGTGATGAGATTGTTTTAGAATTAAGTATCCAGGAAAAGGAAGTCATAAACCCACAAAATGCTACCCAAGCAAGGTATTTCAGTTAAACATGGTACTTAGATTTTTCATTTTCTGAATTTGACTATTCCTATTCTTTAAATTGAAGTTTTGGAAAGCAGTTTTTGTACCAGCTACAGCTATGTCTGTAAGTTTCTATAGTCTTCTTCTGAATAGCTTGCTAAAATACTGTGTGCTGATAGGCAAGCAGTTTTCAAGTGTCAATGGTTGAATTTAAAACATTGTTATAGTTTTGTTGATCTAAACTTTAGATGTTCAGAATCCAACTAAGAGTATAGTTCTGTACAGATCCCTTTTCAATTTGTAAAAATACAGAAGAACCTAGATTTTGTAGAAAAAATCTAAAAATGGATTGAGAAATTACTTTGTATTAAGATACAGTTTAATATGAAGAACAGTTTGTTTTTTGTTTTTTTTTTTTTTTTTCATTAATAGATTACAGGTAAAGTGGATGAAAGATGGAATAATAAAACCATGTTTCAATCCTAAAAAGTAATGCTTGTTTGCCTTCTGAAATGTTGTGCATAAATAAGGTAGAAAAAATAATTCATGTTATAATTCATGTTGGCAATCTATTCAAACATTTCTGTAATAAATCCAGGTAGCAAACAAAATCTAACTTTCTATATTTTGATCATTAATCTCCCATTCATAAACGGACATGATGCAACTTCCAAAAGAAAAGAAAAAGCCCTTAATCAGGGAAAATAAATTCTAAAATATTCTAAATGTTTATGGAATAAACCCCTAATTTATTTGTGATTAAGGTAAATTCGTAATCTCAGGAATTTTAGAAGGATTTTTAAATAAAATAACAGATAGTTCATATCCACCTTTCAGAATAATTTGTCCTGAGTGTAAAACTCCTAAGTGTAAAAACAAAGAAAGAAAAAAATATGCTTGAGGTACCTTTGCCTTGTTTCTGTAGAAAGTTTCAGAAGTACCAGCAACAATACAATGCCCCCATGTGGACATTTGTATTGCATTTAGACTTATCAAATCTATTTCTAATGAACAGATTCTGAATCAGGGTATATTTAATACCAAGGTGTGGATATATCTAAATTTGCAACTACTACAACTGCTTCTATATAAATTTTCACCAAAAAATATAGATTAATATAATCCAAAACATATTGCATTTTTTCTGTTCAGACAAGTCCTAATAGAAAAGAAGGCACTGATGTTGTGAATGTACATCTGTAAAGCCATAAAGAGGAGCAAAACTTGGCATACATGAACTGTATTTCAAGGCTTTATTTTCTGCATTTGACATTCATTCATAGTTCAGAGAGCCATCCGTGTCTCTCTTTTTCTTGCTTCTCCTTTTTGACCACATAGATCAGCGTGTGACTACTACTAACATTCAGTATAAGCCCTTGCTTCAACATGTTATAAACAGCAAAATCCTGCAGCTATTCATGGAAATAAAAAGATAATCTCTGGGTGCCGCCACCTACAAAAGTCATAAAAAGTCATTCCATTCTTATTATCAAATTTGCTTTTTAGCTAAAATAAATACTTTTATCCTATCCAAACAACTGCGGACTTCCTGTGATCATCTCCCTTACTGCAGCAAAATTAATGCTTCCCATCCTTCCTCCACCTCCTTTTTTTTTACCTGATCGTTCCACGTGAAGTCGGGAGCGATGCTCAGCCGCACGCGGAGCACCGTGCGGGTAATTGGCTGGATCGTGGCTTCCATTATGATGGAGGGTATTTGATGGACACATTGTTTTACCTTTAGCCCAATCTTCACATGATGCAGCATATGACCTGCCAAGAAAACATCTGGTGTAACATATTTGCATTTCCAGGAAAAATAACACAACTCTGACTTCCAAATAGGCTTTTAGTGAGATGTATTATTGCTTGCTTGTTTTGCTCTTAGGGGAGTAAACGTCTGACTCTCCTGACCTGGCATGTCTGAATATTTTGTAATACTTAACTTGAATTAGCAATTTAGAGCCTGGAAAAATCAGTATTAACCCCCTTGTTGGCTATAACTAAAGGGTTAAAATAATTATTAAGAATTCACACTATTAGGAATCAAAATATATTATGTCAAGCTAGTTCCCTTCCCTTTCCTTTACTGACTTTTTGACCAGCTTCTTACCAAGCCACACAGTTCTTTTTTGAAGCATGAATACTGACCTTCCATTTAATGAAGGGCACACATTTGAACTCCTACAATTCCTGTGTAGTGATTCAAGGCAGGAAGAACCCTTTCCATAAAACTGAGTAAAGGTAGTTAGTAGCTTAAAAATGCATGCAACTAGTAAACATCTCACAGCAGCTCTGATCTTTCAGAATACACCAGAGTGTAACTGAGACAAAGGAAAAAAAACCCTAAATGTTACCATGTTTTTTTATTTCAGATCACAGTCATGGTAACTGAGGAAATAAAGTGAATATATTCATTATAAACATTTCCTACTTGTATTTTACAGCTGAAATCTCTGTTTCTTTCTCTTCATTTTAAATGTAAAGCAAAGTATAAAGCAGGGATTTCTTTTTGTCCTGAAAAATATTCCAACTTTTAGCTTATTTAGGGAAAGGAGGTCGATTTATCACATTTTCAGTGAAATTGATTATGTAATTATGCAGAACATATTTTAGACTGAATTGTAATGCTCATAAGCACTCACTGTTAAAAACTACCTTAGAAATGGCTACTGATATTTTCTGATATAGTTATGTGGCTCCCATGCACATTTTCACATTGAAAAAAGGAAGAAAAAAAAAAGCAGAGAAATCCAATTATTTGCATTATATGCCAAGTGAAAAGGTAATATAAACTTCTTCTTGCCATTGCATGAAAATCAGGAGCACAACATCTTGCAATTGCTGATTTTTTTTTTTTTTTTTTTTTATATTGATCCTGACTTTCCCTCTTTGGTTTTTCTTATTTAACAAACTGTCAGATTTTGTGTCATACAGGTGTTTGTCTCATACAAGTAATGAATGGTGATCTTGCTTAAGAAACAAATCCCTAATACAAAAGTTTCAACACATATTTACTCAGTTTAATTTGCAGTTGGCAAAGTAAGTGCACCTGCAGCAAGTGGATTATTAAAAACCAGAACAGTTATATTGGTACAACTTGGTGATATATGCAGTATAGCATGCTTGTACAGTGAATAACTTTTGCAAATACAGGTAAAACTTCAGAAATCATGTTAAATAAACATAGTTTCCAAATACTCAAAGATACATCTCAATAAGTTTATACAGGCAAGTACTTTTTCACGCCAAAAAAAAATTTCTGTAGCACAATGTGTGAGGCGAACTTCTCTGTTTATACAGAACAGCACAGAGGTTTTGTACACTTATCTGCTAGCAGAAAATAAGACTTGATTAGCACAAACTCCAGGGTTGAACTCTAAGTGCACGTAGATTGGTGTTGACCAACTCATGGTCACCAGAGTTCGGGCTCTGTGCACACAACATGCCCTTCATTTGCTGGCAAAGCAGGCATCCAGCTGATGCTTCCATGTCTCCCTAGGCCATGGACTGAATCAGCTCCTGCCTTTTTTATTCTATTCCCAACACCACAAGAACATGTGGAGAAGAAGAAACTCTGAGACTGAAACTAGTCAATTTACTTTCAATGTAAATTAATACAAACCCAAACTGGCCATTTTATAGGTATATATTGATAGATCTTCTGCTTGTCAATACTAGATCTACTGTGTTGAAGGAAGTAAAACTGTTTTTGCATTTTAATACAAAATTTCTTGCTTCTCCAAGGGCAAGTGTGGGGAGAAAGAAACATTTAAAAAAAATACTTAAGTATTAAAAAGACTGCACAAATAGATAAAAAATTAACAAATCTGAATAAAAAAGTGCTGTAATACTTCTGAATAGAAAAGCATGATAATGTTAGCACTTCAAATAAAATGTTCTATTTTTAATACATTTTAAATGGCTATATATTATAAAGTACAGGTAAAGTAAGCTTTAATAATTTTCTCTTGGTCCTTTGGTTTATGTAATAAAAATATAGCCTCTAATTCTGCAAAGTTTTACATACTCAACTTTTGCAAAACTAAACTAGGCATGTAACAAAGCTTTCTAAGTTGGGAATATAGATCTCTTGTCAAATCAGAGAAATATCAGGTCAGGGTTCAAAATTTCTAAAAATCAGTGACTGAATTTTATTTTTATTGTAAAATTAGACATCTTAAAAAATGGCAGTTGTTTCTCAATGGCTTGTTAGTAACAGGGGCAAAGAAGCACAAATAAGAAAAAATACATTAAGGAAAAAGAAATACATTACAAGCAAATTTTTTTTTTCCAACTTCAACCATCTAGTGAACAGTTTATGCACACATACTAGAAGTTGTCATTATGTCTATCAGTAGGCTTGTGGACTAATTCTTGGAAGTGTCAAATCCTTAAAAAAATTCCATTAAGGTTTGTCTGCAATGATACCAGTGACAATGAATTTTCCATGTTTAACAAAAATTAAGGCAGCATTTCAGAAGCAGACAATTTACTGGTAGTATATCAGGACATAATAAACTGTTTTTATTCTTTTTCATGTTAATAGTATCTAAATTTAAGAAAACAAAGGCTATTTTTTGCCAACTGGCAAAAATAAACAGATGCCTTTTATAGTAGTGTATTACATAATGTGAGCAAGAAGGGAAGCACAGGTCAACATAAATACTAATCTATGTAAACACATAACATGTATCTCAAATCCAGATGTGTTCTGAGGTAGGCAGGTCATGGGCTAGCTAGCCTTACACTCAAAGTTGTGCCATATTACAAGATGTACAGACTGAATCAACCTTCTTTATTGGCCAGACCATAATACCATATTAATGTGTCTACATGGCTTCCAGACCAGAGTGGGTATGTTCCTGTGAGTATGTTAATGGAACATACCCACAGGATTTAGTTCTTACTGGCCCATTGATCACTAATAGTTTAAGCAGATCAGCATTGCTGATTTCTCACCTATTTCATCTTTTCTCATGTCCTTCATCTTGTCTACAGTGAGATTCTTCTCTTCCAACTTTGTGAGGACTGATGGTGGTAGCACTGAGAACTGTCTCAAAGGGCTAACCCAGCCCCACAGCCGCTTGTCAATGACTTTGCTGAGGTTCAGTAGTCGATAGGTCATTGCAGGCCAACGTTTCCTAAGGGCAATCTCAAAAAGAGCTCGAACAATACGAGCTGCATTCTGGAGAGAGGGGGGAAAAAAGAGCAGAAATGGTATAATAGTCTCAAATGCTCTTTGTAAAATGAAAAGGATCCCATAAGCTCATCTTTGACAAACCATAACAATGGATTTTTCTTCTCGAACATTCTTGAAAATTATTTTTTCCATCACTGTCCAGTGGCAGAACTACCTCAAGATTGCCTACAGAAATTATGAAACCAAATGTGCAACTAATTAGAGTTATAGTGGCAGGTCTACCGTAGAATTTTGATCACCGTTAGGCTAACATTAGTGAGTTCTAGATTTATTGCATCTCAATCACTTCTGAAACAAATTCACTTACTGTAAGTAATATCTTCCTCCTTCTCCCTCATATAATATACACCTGCAAACTCAGTTTGTATGGAAATTCAAATTTTAATTTTTCACTTCAGTTGTGTTTCCATAATAGCATCCCATTTCACTTTGAATTTCACAACATTTCCACAGAATTTCACACAGAACACCAGTGACTTTTTTTTTTTTTAAACATGTTACTATCTTCTCAGACTATTGTATAACCATGCTGTATAAATCTGCTTTGGATGTAGAAAATTAATTATTAACATAAGTTAGAGTGAGGTCAGTCTTATCCTGAAAAAGTGAGTTATGATATTCCTTTCATAAACTTATCAAGCTGTATTATAAAGTTGTGGGATTTTTTTTTTTTTTTTTTTTTTTTTTTTTTTCCTATGCCTAGATTAGCAATTCTGTTCTTGATTCATTGAATAGAATACTCATTCTCTACTGACTTTACAATGACAACAGGAATAAAACCCAGATAATTATTTGGCCATGATAAGAAGCATATGTTAAAAAAGAAGCACATTTCTTTTATTTAGAAAGGATGAATGACTTGCTTAATAGTCACTATCAAATTTAAAAAAACCCACAATTTGTAGCACTGGTTCCACATGTACTGTTTATGGAGATCTGAGAAGGTCTTGCCGCCTCACTAAAATCAGTATAATTGAGAAAGACAAATAAAAGCAATTGCCTTGAAAGTAAAGATTAAAAGAAGCACACTGAAAATTAGCTTGCTGTGCAAGTACCACAATTTTTAAAATGTGCATAATGATTTCAGAATTTTCTTATTTATATCCAAACGTGACACAAAATGTAAATACTTTTGAAGAAGGTAATGTTAGACTGAAAATCTTGCTAAAGAATATGTATACTTTCGAATAGTTAACTCTCATCTTTAGCACCAACTAAATGCAATTTTACAATCAATTCTTTCCAAAAAAGTTTTGTAAGGAGGAAGACAAAAACGATTCAATGCAACATGTTTCTGTTAAAAAAAAGAGACACATAGGATGGGCTAAAAGATAAAAATTTATAATCACATTCATTATTGTTGCACATGTTGTCTGTGAACATTTTGTCATTTTGAGTTCTTCAAGATCCAGAATTCTAAACTTTCATGGAACACCCTTTTCTTTCTAAGACAGGCTCTAGTTGCATAAGTAAGAAGGTCTGTATCACAGACTTGTAATTCTCTTATTATTCTGTGTAAAAACTAAACATGCAATGTAACTACCAACCATTCAGGGGTCAAATCAAGTTGACAAATATACAGACTGATATGTAATTTGGCACAATTATGTCTAGCAATGAAACTGAAAAAGCACATCTTCTTTATGTAAACTAAGGTATGTGAATAAAACACAAATTATGTTCTCCAGAATGAAATATAAAAGTATAGAAAACATAAGAATAGATTACAATAGTTTTACAGATCTAGAAGAAAGAAAAGAAAGTTAAGTACAATATTTCTGTGGAATTAGAAATAGAAATACTACATAGAATAAGATTACAGGGGTAATACAAACAAAAAAGATATTCATAATTAATAAAAAGTGCAGCAGTCTCCCAAGGTAGGCTTTTACAGTCCTTTTCTACTTAAATATTATACCACACGCATATACACATAGAAGGCTCTTATTTTCAATCAATTTGCCCAGAAGTGTACAAAAAAGTTGCAGAACAAGGCTTACTTACGTAACTTTAAACATTTGTGAGAATGAAAACAGTAGAAGATGGCAACAGATATGTAAAAATTACTATTTTTACCTGTGCAACATAAGCAGAATCTGAAATAAGAGAGAAGCTATCCATCTCCCCTCTGCTAATATATGTTTGAAGGAGGATATTAATTTTTCCATAATTGTTTTCCACACCTCCTGGAGCAGGAAGTTCACAGAAATCATTCAGTAAGGTATCCAGCTCTTCTATTTCTTCTTCTCTTACCTAAAACACAATTATACATTATGAAGAGGCTGGAGCAATTTGATAAAAATTTTTTACACTGAAATCAGGTTTTCCTTACATTATTTTTAAATTGAGTCTCTTGTTTTAAGGAAAAAAAAAAAAAAAGAAGTAAAAAGCAACAAACCCATGTCTTCCACCATGTAGCTAATAAACCATAATTGAAACTATCTTAATAGTGACACAATTACATTTTATTATTCATCACTGTGTATTAAGTTTGCCATTGACATACAAAAATTTGATATGCCACAAAAATTGAATCTTCTGACCCTACCATCCTTCATTTGATGAGATTTCATTTTTTATTTGACCAGAGTAAAACCTCTGTCCATCTGGATTAGGGCAATCTTGAATTAACATTAAATGTACTCATTATAGTTACACAGTTTGCATGTGGCATAATACATTTTTAACTCAAAACTATGAAGTACTATGATTCATGATATTAAAGATTTCACTGTTAATAAGATTAAGTCTTAACATAGAGTAAAGAAATATTCATATCTATGGTTTGAATAATGCATAACATTTTGCATTCTGATGACCCTTACATGGCAAATCCAGCATAAATCTACATATTCTTTGATTTACTGATAGTCTGTTAGTGTAAAACTTATTTAAAGAGGGTAAATGTTTGGTCCCTGCAGGGAACCAGCTGAAAGTAATTTTCATTTGGACCTGACTACCTGACATACGAAAGATCCTAAGGCAATTGGGTTAACATCCCCAACTGTTCAACCAATGGTCCTACAGGAAAGGAAAAGATGAAGAACAGAACCATCATAGTGTCAGGGGACTTTTATGCTCTGCTTACAACAGCATTTTTGATTTATTTTAATTTTTCCCTGCTCTTAAATAGCACAGTACAGGTCAACTCCAGATCTGTATTTCAGCTAATGTACACTTCACTGCCTCAAAATACAGAATTTTTGAAGGCATCACGGTGACGTGATTCATATTAACAAAGTCATAATTTATATCACACAGAGGGGTAAACCCTGATTTATTCCTGTGAAAAGTCACTTTTAGCATTCAAAGTCACAAAGCAAACCAACCACAAAAACTGGAAATGATGGTGCACTGATGCCATACCGTACAAATCTGAGAAAGCAAACTACGAAAACCAGTCAAGAAATATCATTACTAACTTTATTAGAAATATAGAAACATATCACATCATATTTTCCATATACTTCCCTTTTAAATATTCAATTACGCTAAATTTAGACCTAGCAAAGCAATATTACAATGATAAAAAAACCTTCTAGGTTGGAAAATGTTCCATGCATATCACTGTGAAACCACACTGCTTATCTTCTATAATAGAAGAAATTACAGCAAAACAGAATTTCTCCATTAGATAAAGAGATGGTAATATTCAGACAATGTGTGCAAATATGTAAATACATAGACAGTTAGGGATTCACACTGCCAGATTTCAGAGCCAGGTGAATGAGAGCCAACTCTGATCCGAAGGTTGTATAATTGTAGTAAAAGGGCAATGAGCCTGAGCTAATAAACCCTGTGGAGTCTGGCTTGCACCTCTATGAGATGGAAGCACGGGCAAACAAGCTCCTGCTGGCTTGCAGTGTATTGTACTGTGTCCTACCCACACAGGAGGCAAGAAGGGAGGATGAAATTGAACTGAGTACAACAGTACAGTAAAATCATCCACCCTGCACAACAAAACTTATTACAATAACTTCCTAGATTTCAAATTTGAAAATAATTTAACAGACTTTATGAATCTGCTAATCAAATATTGCCCTGTGCATGACGTATATCACAGAATTAGCTGCAGTAAGTTCTGCCTCATTTCTGGTAAAGCAAACTGTTCAGGGAGACATCTAATAATGGTTTAAACTTCAAACAGGAAAAACTCTCTCATCCCTGGGTGCACCATTCTAATGGACACTTATCTTCACCTGTTAATAATTGAGGAGCTGAAAAGTTCTTAAAAGCATTTAAAAGGAATTCCCAAAGATCCAGAAACAGTTATTAAATGTGCACTGTAGTTCAAGCTGAACTACATATAAATCTGACTGAGAGCATATATAGTTCTTGGCAATTATGCCTACTTAGAAAACATTTTATAATGGTGCTTAATATTTAAAAAAACCTTGGGTCTGTAGACACTATTTATAGAATGAGTACTACAGAACTGCCTAGTTCTAAGATATTCCTTGTATGAAAGGATATAACTTTACCTTTATCTGTTCGAATTCTTCAGCTTTTGATACTATAGCAAGAATATCACCTTCTGTTTTATGAGCATCAAACAGTTCATTGAAAGTCTATTAAAAATAAAAAGAATTAACACTGAAAATAAAAAAAAAATATATAGTACAAAAGAAAGAAACATTTACCAGGATTTTAAAAGACATATCAGGTTAAAATCTAAGTTATTGTAAGACCAGAATTATGCAATTTATACAGGAATAATTTCCCAAATGCTTTCTCATAACTTTCAAAAAAGAAGTTCCTTGAAACTTGGTCACTACAAAATCGAGAAACGTGAAATCTACGGATATTTCAAAAAAGTCTAAGACATACTTGAGTAAATAAATATGTGAGACTCATTATGACTAATTATACATTGTGATAGTAAACAGTTAACAATTATTAATGTCACATCTTCAACTTTTCTTTGAGAAAAAGACTTACTTCCCAAAGAAGAAAGGTTTTAAGATAAATGTGTACATAAAATCATGCTTCCAATACTACAAAGTTTTGTACAAATGTATCTTCCTTACATATTCACAGCACAATCTGATTACAGTGCCAGAAGCTGTTTAAGGTTGGAAACCTGACAGGATTTTCATGCAGAAAACTCTTTCTGGTATCAGACTCCACATCTGAATATACTAATGGTTACACACACTGTTGATATGAAAATGTTTCTTATAATTAATCTATAAGAAGGCAGAGACAATAGAAATTTCAAACCTCAATTCACATCAAGTCTGATTTTTCAGTATTGCTTTATACTTTTCTGTCCTTTTCTTCTCTGTTTCCTCTCTCCCCATTTCAATGATATGATTTGAAAATATGTTGAACAAATCAGCTACATATTCAGTAATATCTTACAACTATTTTAGGTATAGGTTTAAAAAAAAGGAAAAAAAAGCCCAGAAATAGAACATCGTATTTTACCTCGATAGTATTGTATTTAATATAGTAGTGGCTAGCAGTTCTGCCTAAATCTGTTGAAGAAAAAAAGCCAGTTCGTTCTTCGAAGCGAATCATGCGGGCTTTGTCCAGTTTTCTGCCGACTTCAATTACCAACTGTTCCCTGTGCTTTTCTAGACTTGGATCCATCTAGAGACAAAACACATACATTTATTTGTATAAAAGGAAAACAGAAGTGTTAAATAAATAATTTTACTGAGATTATCCAGCCACACAAAGCCAGAAATCAAAGGAAGGTCCAGTTATTAAGACAAGATTATCCTGAGATCTCTCTATTAACAGTTACATTGACATTATTGACCAAAAATTGTCTGTAGAGGACAAAATAATCAGAATAATATCTTTTTTACCATGCTTCAAGACTACAAACATAATGAAGACTAATATTACTTATGAAACAGTTGCATGATTATGAAATAAATTTACATTGCAGTTTTTGAAAGAAGTTGTAATGCTAGCATATTCTTAGTGAAATTATCATTACTATGTCACTTCATAAAAATATGCTATCTTATGGTATTTTCTGTTTATGAAAATGGCTGAAGATATAAGCTGTCTAGGTATCTGACACGAAGATGGCTTTAATTTTGTCCAAAATAGAGTAAGTTTCAAATTGGACGGCTGAAACGTTTACTAGCAAAAAAACTCTAATGTAACCAAAAGCTTTGAGTATTTCAGTTGGGACATTCAATAATGATTGAGTTATAGATTAATTATACAACAATATATCTATTTACCATATATATATATATATATGTATATATATATACACACACATACATATATATATATCTATAAAAATGATATAATTACTGAGCTTTCTGTGCCAAATACGACTTCTATTCATACCAAAGTTCAGGAACTCGGACAAAATGTCCAAGTAATAATGTACATTACCTCATTAATTAATTCTATTAATTATTAATTAACTACAAGTAATCTAATCATGAACTTCCATCTGAGTGGGACTGCTGTGCAATTGTGTGTTACCCCAGTGTACACCTGGGGATACCCAGAATGACAGGGATGGGTGAAAAGGGACTCATAGTCATGCTAACCCTCTGGTGTTCATGCACCTGAGATACGGCTTTAACTACACAAGCAACCATTAGTCACCAAATTTTAAAAGACTGAAATTGTGCACAGGCAGCATTTTAATTTCATGTCTTGTATAGTTCAGATTTCCTATAGCCCTCTTGGTAAATCTGCACCAGAGATGCATGGACAAGACTGCAAAAAAGAGCAGGCTTTAAGACTGTCTATGCCTTGGTTTGCTCTGGTTTTCCCAGGGCCGGGATTCAGTTTCAGCTTTGTGCAGAAGTGCTTCATCTCATGTTCAGTGAAGCTGCAGACAAGCACAGCCATCTCCACAAAGCAGCTGCGAGACTAGTTCCTAATATTCCCTGTCTTTGCCAGTTATTCTGAAGCTGTTTCTCCTTAGTTATGGCTTGCCTTAGTTTCAAGTCAAAAGCTAAGATGGCAAAGGTCTAGAGTGCTTTTCTCAATAGTAAGTTATGCATTGAGGTCAGATTAAAGAGCAGAGGTGGTTAAAAAAAAAGGGATCAGGATGCCAGATGTTTAACGTTTCTTACAACTAAAGAGGAGGAATCACTTCCTTACTCCCTATAGCAGTCCAAATTACCTGCCAGTCTTTAGCCTTACATGTAAAAAAGCTAAAGCTGGAACAGCAGACTAACATTTTTTACTAATACAAAGGTTTTAACTTTAAAGGAAAGGTCACCAACTTGAAAAGGCTGTGAAACTATATTCCAATCTTAAGAATCCATAGTTAGCACCCTTCTTGTTGAACTTACATAATTAGAAAACCCACAGATTAAAAGATCCAGCCTGGAACAGCTTTAAGCCATACTCTTAAAAATGAGCCTTTGCATGTACGCAGCAAGAAACTGAGCAGGTCTGAAGTACACATATAGAAATTTAAGAATGCAAGATAAAGTACATTAATATTCACATTGTTTTCTCTAGCTAACTGAGCAAACTGTTGGGAACAAGCTCCTCTAACTCTTACAGATGTTCTAAACATAAACATATGGCTTATGGGGACAAAAAATTTGCTTAACTGTGGGAACACCAAAATGTGGAACCAAAAAAAGGAGAAAACAGACAACGGACTTAGCTTAGAAAAAAAACGCTGTTTTTTTCTAACGCCACCTTTTCTTTGGAAGCCTAAAAGGATGAGAAAATGCCTGTAATTCATACTACAGACTTCACTAACACGACACTCACGTTTGCTCCACTTTTTCCTTCTACTCTTTGTTTCTTCTAGCTGCTCATCATAAATTTTGGCCATTTTCTCAGCTCAGTAAAAGACTTTACTTGGCTCTTCTGGCAAAAACTTGAAAAATCACAAATCAGAACGGTGGGCCTGGAACAGCCTACTCCTTGGCACAGCCCAGAAACAGGCTAGGTGGGGAACAGTAATATCCTGGAAGCAAGACATGGGGTGCAGAATGTGTAGGTGCATGACAGGTGCATGCTTGCCCTGGTCTCCCCGTGCAGCACAACACAGTCCTCTCATGTTTTCAGGATGGACCTTTTGTGACCTACAGTAATTACTGGATGTGATGAGCGCCTGTGGAAAGGGAAAGCAGAAGGAGTTTGCATCTCCCAGCCCCGCCAAACAGCTGGGAAGTGTGACCCATGGTGCTTCTGCAGATATAGGGATTCTGAATGGGTAACACTGACTGTCAGCCAAAACACAGACAGAAATTGGCACACTGCAATATTACTAGAGAAACAATAAGATGCCAATTATAAAGATTGGATACCTATAACCAGAACAGAAGGAATAGAATGGTCTAAGTGAGAAAATCTGTGGTTATGCTTGCATCTGGCACTACACCATCTATATACTGTCTATAACACATTACTGTTGAAGTTTAAAACTGGTTTGTCTAGAAAATAAGGGTATTTGCATTGGTTTTGCTCCTACATGAAACACTACAAACTCATCTAATTTGTTACTGCTGCAGCACAAAAATAGGAATGTTTATTATTAGCACATCAAATCAGAAGGAGCAGAAAGGATGTTAGTGGCAGGAAAAGGCAAGTGCTGGCAATCTCCACCTTCCTAGCAGCTGAATAAAAATACAAAGCAAGCAAAGAAGGATCAACTATTGTCCATTATTTTTTAAAATTTATAAAAACCCAATTCTGTTAGTGTTTTATTACTTTTTTTTCCACCAGTTATTAAAACTGTGGCTGTATTTCTTTTAATCTAAATTATGTTAATAACATTGGTCAAAATACTTGATGAAAAAAGAAGGAAAAAAAAGGAAATTATAGGAATGGAACAACATTCTTCTCAGTAGCAAAGCAAATATTGCTTTCCATTTGTCTGTTACTCTGTGATTTGTGTTATATAGTGTTATATTAACATGTGGTAATGTACTATAAGCCTTTGAGATGACCCAAGGTCTAAAGGTGTCTGCAGAAGCTTACTTATACAAAAGCCAACCTACTTCCACTGCAGCTTCCACTATCAGCCACAAAAGCTACTAAAAAGAAAATATGTCCTTACATATATCTCTACATGCTACAATGACCAAAACAACTGCTGCATGCAATATTGTGACAAATTATGAAGTGACAAAACAGATTCAGGACATGTGAAATAAACTGCAGTTACCACACGCTAGTGAGAGTTTCACCTGCATTAGGCTCAATTACCTGTGCCCAAACTATGTTAACATTAAATGATTACAAGCAGCTGTAAAAAAAAAAAAAAGTAATGGCATTTAAATAACTTCTAAACTAAAAGACTTCCTAAAAATTAAGTGAAAAATTAAAATGAAAAAAACTCGAAAAAAAGCCTTATGTAACTGTGCTCCAATTTATGTCCCTGCATGGAACACTTCTAAATAAACAAATTAAAAACAAATAAAGAAAAAAATCTTGTAATTACCAAACCAAAAGAAGAAAACCCACCTATTTAAAAGTGTCATCTTATAACTTATAATATGCCGTGGGATGAAACATTTTAAAACAAAAGGTGATGGGGGCAAGGGGGAAAGAAAGCAACTGAGGAACGCTTTATTTTATCATTTTTATCTAGCCTACAAAACTGAAACACTGACAATAGGCTAAGTTATAGCAACTGTCTGATAAGAATGAATGTTGTCCTATGGAGGATAACTTGACTGTCTGAAACATATTTTTATGTGAACAGAAGGGGCCTCTTAATTTAGTGTTAGAAACACTGCTACAGAAAATATCTTCCTTTTCCTAAGCACTTTTAAAAGAATTGCTGATGTCAGGTTAAGTAGAAATAGCAAATATTTATCCTCACATCAGGGAAGAATTAGAGACCCAGAGCAGGTTACAGATTTTTTTTAAAAATGCATTTTGTACCTGATAAGCTTTGTGACTGATGCCATATACTAATGGATTTGCTCTCATCCGTACATAAAGATAAGTGTAACTTATCCACTTTACTGCTTCTTCCACATTAGTTACTGTTCCAAGAGCAATCTGGAAATAGGAAAAGAGACAAAATTAAATGTATATGTTACAGCTGAACATAAGTATTTGGCTGAAAACATATGGAATTCAGAGCATTAGCACTAGATTAAAGAAAGTGTCAGCGTGTTTTCAACTTATATTATTTTTAAATAATCACAGGATGATTATTTGAACCATTTACCCACCTGTATTTTATCAACATCTAATAATACGGTAAGTTCTGTGACATAATATTATAGATAGTGACTTACATGATCTCTCTTACACCGCTTAAATTTTTTACAATTACAAGATGATACTGAGCAAGCTTGTTCACAAAAAAAAAAAAAAAAAAAAAGAACAAAACGACAAAACAATAGAATTCTTTAGTAAATATGCTCATGGTAATTTAAAGAGTATCTTTGGAAAAAAAAAAATCTACATTTAAAGAGACTAACTTTTCATACCAAGTTAAAAGCACTTCCTGGTTCAAATCCTAAACCAAATGATACCAACAATCTTAAGGATTTTCTTCATCATACTCTCATACTTTGCAATCTCTTTATACACAGGTTTTACTCCTTTTGTATCTGGCAAGTCAAACGTGCACATACCTGCCAGATTTTTGTTATATTAAAACTTAAAAAAATTGAACAGGTAAGATGCACATAAAATACAGACTTATTTGCTTTTTGAAGCTAAATGAGGTATACCAAACCATTTTTTTTTACTAAGTAACAGTTTTTACTAAATCAATAGTTTTATCACCAAATCATTTCCAACAAACGTATTTTTACTTTATAACTTCAGCTCTATTTTGTGTTGATTACATTCATGAGAAGCATTTTACCGATTAATCCCAGTTAACCTGATTTTACCAGGAGAAGTTAATTTCCTGCATGCTCCATAAACAAACATTTTTGGGTTGTTGCTGCTGTTTAAAACAAGCAAAAGTCCCTCTTACTGAATTTTTGTGATCCATTACTTCATTGCCACATTTTTAAAGTTATTTTTGTTTTATTGGTGCTTGGATTTCATATAAACTTTCCACATGACTTGGCAAAAATTAAAAAACCCCAAAACTATACAACTGTAAGTAATTTCACATGCATGTTCAGATCTAAACATCTAGACCTTAACAATAACACAGATATGCTTATTTGAAATAACATAAATATCTAGTAGAAAAAACAATGCAAGCCAAATCAGCCTTGAGTTAAAATAACTTAAATCTGGCAAAATCTTGTTGATATCCATGAATAATAGCATGGAATAACCCCAAGCTTTGTTTCACACATTTTTCAAGTGATATTTTGTTCAACAGCATAAGGAGGTTGGGGGAAGCCCCATTGTGTTGTTTTTCAAAGTATATGGCTACATAATGCACTGAAGTAGTTATAAAAGCATTCAGTTCATCATGGACTACTACAGGGGAAAACATCTAATACAGTTATTATTACTCAATTGGCTACCCAGGTTAATTCCAGCATTTGGTTTCTTTACACGATTCAAAAATCAGTATGCAATTTGAAATAGTGTAACAATATAGTCAAATAGTAATGTTTTCCCCTAAACACAAACAACCATTTTCACAATCATGAGCCAAAAATTTTCATTATCAAGGACAGTGAAATGTGGCAATTAAAAGAAAAAAAGCCCCCCCCCTTTTTTTTTTTTTTTTTTTTTTGCATCGTTTGGTCAAATATCTGATTGCGATATTTATCAATTATTTTCATAAGTTAAAAGTAAAATTGAGGATAAAGAAGTGATTATGAAATACAGTTGTTTTTCAGATTTGGTACTGAAATATAATACTAAGCTTTTCTTCCTCGAATATTATACAGAGAGGGGGAAAAAAAAAAAAGGCAACTTCTAAATATTTGCTGCCATCTAGTGTTCAAGTAAAGTTCTTATGGATTGTTTGCAGATCTGTACCTTTGTTAAAATAGTATGACAGAAGTTATCTATCTTATTAATACAAATGCTTAAGAGTAATGTGGAGTAAATTACTTAGGAGACAACTTCTGTTAAGATCTAGGATATGTAGTATTCATAACACCAATAAATAGACAAGGTGATACTTTATTAAAATAAAATTTTTAAAAAGTTCTAAATTTTCCAGCATTACCTCAACCCTATAGGTATTTAGCTGCAGACAGAATAATCAATGAGTAGAAATATTTACTATGTTGATGTCTCATTGCACGAGTCGTCAAAAATGTTTTTCTTAAAAAAAATATTAAAATACAAATGATTGTGTTGCACTCACAAAATGAAAATGAAAACTTGAATATTGTACCGATCGAGCTCACCTTGTCATTTCTAAATGAAAAAAAATCATCAGAAATTTTCAACTAATTATTCAATGGCTGATGTCACTATCACTGAGTGATGTGCTTAGTAGTCTGCATTTTCATTAAATAATTTTTTTTTTACAAATGCTATCCCACAGACTTTATCAAGTTCAACAGTATTTCAGAGGAGGTGTTTTTGATTTTCAAAACAAGACTGAACAGATACAAGTAGCACAGCTTTTTGGGGGTAGTTTCTGAAAAATTAAGTTTTTCTCTCTGATATTTCTATAAAGATTAGAAAAGGGCATAAAATATTACTGATAATATAAACTGTATGTCTTGTATAATATCTAATATAATGTCATATACTTTTTTTTTTTTACACAAGAAAGTTTAATTGCTACTATATTTGCATAATTGAGTCAGATTACATGGATGAAAAATTTTTATATATGAAACAAATATTTGTTGTTAAGGTAAGAGGGCAAGTAATCTTCCTAACAACCTAATAACTAATCTTCTGTTCATTTTAGAAACCAGTGTATTTTGAATTATCATTTCAGCATCTGGACTGATTATGGTCTTATTCCAGTATGGCTTTTGAAATAATTTCTCAATGCTACTAGAACTGTCCCAAGGACTATTTATAAGTACAACTGAATTATATCAGAGTTGTGCTAATCTGTTAATTCCAAATAAATTGTCTGCCATCTGGACACAACAAAAGGAGATGAGGGGAGAAGGGATGAGGTTGTTGGTCTCCTGCAGGCTGGGTCAGGCCACTGGGACACCGAGGGAGAAACTTTTGGTTGCCCATAGCCTTCACTTTGCCCCATACTCAGATTCAGTGTTCAGTCACCCACCTCCTGATTGATTGTTTTGGAAGGGCTTTGAAAGAGCTCTCTTCTCAGAGCCACAATAGTCGCCCACTCTTTCAAGGCAAAAATAGATTAAGAGGTTTATCCAAACTAAACAAGTCACCTTTTTACACTCCTGCCTTCGCAACAAAATTGTAAATAAGGGCAAGGAAAGGCACATGCTCTCTGGGGAAGATACACCTACGGTCCAGTACTGCGAATCCTCTCAGTTTCTACGTTCTCAGGGGAGAGGAGTCATCCCAGCAACAAGCTGGGGTCCAGCTGTGGATGTCAGGGAGGGCTCTATCAGGTGGAAACAATTAGGGAAGGAATGGTGACCTGCATTGCATGAGCTATTGATGATAGTTCCCAGATAAGTTAAAGTTTATGGTCTAATTAAACCACATCCCCTGTATCTTATCTTTCTTCCTGTATGTACAGAAAATACAGCTGTAGGTATTTTCTGTTTGCCAGCTGGTCAACTGACCTAGGATCTGCTCCTCTCAACTAAACACCCTAACCAGCTATTTATTTTATTGCTTTTTTTGGCATATTCCATTATGCCCAGTGGCACACCTTCTGCAGGAAAGGAAAGGGGCACGTCCATACCTATGTTGATAGTTATTGATTATTTACTCATTATTCTGCTCATTTTTAGAAGAAAAGACACCAAAACCAAACTCAAACTCAACACAAATCTGCAGGAGAGCATTCTCAGTGGACTGAGGTGTCAACTCAATGAAGGCTGGATGAGGCTCTGGGCAGCCTGATCTAGTGGGAGGTGTCCCTGCTCATGGCAGAGGGGTTGGAACTGGGTGATCCTTGTGGTCCCTTCCAACCCTGACAGATTCTGATCTGTTTTGGCAGAGGACTTTGGAGCCCTGGTGGCTCGGTGGTTGGACTTGATGATCTTGGAGGTCCCTTCCAACCTAAATGATTCTATGATTCTATTTCAGTTCTTCCCACTCTGTAGCTTTCCTAAGAACAAATGCACTGGGACATCAAGGCCAGCCTCCTGTCTCCGAGATTAGACAGTAAACGCTAAAGGGCAGAAGGTGTCAAAGAGGAGCAAGCACTGTATCAATTTCTGCCAAATTCTTAAACTATTGCATTTTAAAGTCATTAAAGTCATTAAAGTTAAAGGCATTGCTTTTGCATTTAATATCTTTCAATGGATTTTTATTCCATCTTTATACAGTTTTTGAACTACTCTACCTCTTAGATACGATGATTCCCTACAGCAGAGTTCCACAGTCTAACAATCCAGCTGGCATCCATTTGTGTTTTCTGAATCTGCTACTGACTCATCTCAGTCAATATTTCCTGGTTCTTGTCCCATGAAAAATGCAATCTTTTGCAATGTCATTCATTGCTTCATAAAACTTTGCCATACAATCTCACATTTGCCTTTATTCTTGCCCGAAGAGTACAGGTGAACTGGAGTGTTCCTTGTGTTAGAAGCTGATCTATTCCATTGTCCATCCTCTCTGAAAAATTTCTGCTACTAGAAAATTAAATTTTGAAATGGGAATCAGAAATATTCTATTTCTTTTGCATCACTGCCCAAATTTTCTCTCCTGCACCACATAAGCCTACATACAAAATTCAAGGCTCTGGATTCCACTTAGTGATTGAGTGACTAGGATTACATATTGTATTAGCCTGAATATCTGAATCATTCACCTGTTTCTGCCAAGAGACCTGGTCTAGATAAAAGCAACTCCTATTCTCATGGAAACATGGGGTCTTCCCACATTTCCAACTGCTGGCTTCATTTTACTAGTTCTTCTTTCAGCTACTGATCTCTCCATAATAAATTAAGAATTTAAACAATTCAGCGGTGCTTCTGGCCTTTAATGGGTTTATCTTTACAACTCCAACATAAACATTTGGATTTCCTGAATGACTTGTAATAAAAACACACCCTGCTCCTAAAATATGCCATTTTATTATATATCCTTGTAGATTTCCTGGTGCTAACAACAGGCCAAGATGACAGTAGTCACCAGCATACTGTCTAGATTGCTGTAACAAATCAGTCAATAAGCTTATTTTGTCTCCATAGCATACAATATCTCCTTGTAACTGCTCATACTATTGGTTTCCTGTAATGTCAGGTGTTAATTTTTCCTGCATGTCATGACAGAAGGATAAGTAACATATCAGATGACCAAAAAAATGGTGGCTTCATGCTGTTGATACTCTACTACTTTTCAGCATTTTCCATTAATATTTCTACTAACAATCACTTATCACAAAGATTAGCAAAATTCTGACTGATTCTTCAGGTGTTGTAACTGTATTGCAGCTACAGAATATTCAGTAATTTAAAGTCATGAGTACACTGTTCTTTTCAGCTAACACATTACATATAATCTGAAAGAAACAGTTCTGTCTGAACTAGTTTGTCAGTCTTCTGCCCAAATCCCGTGGCAGAAGTGCTGCATTCCCCAAACCACAA